ACTCGTGGCTTGTTCTTGGTCTTGCAGCTCTTCTGATGTCTGAGGTGGAGTCTCCATTGGCCTGGAGAGCCCAGTTGAGGTGGTTCAGTTCATCTTGGAGGAGGTGGGGTTCACAGATTCTTTTTGCACGGTCTGCCAAGGCTTTAATGGGGCTTCTTTTTTGACTTGGGTGATGGTTGGAGTTTTTTTGTAGATATCTATCTGTGTGTGTGGGTTTTCTGTAGACGGTGTGACCCAATTGTTGATCTGGTTTGCGGATGACTAGGACATCTAGAAAAGGCAGTATTCCTTCATTTTCTTTTTCCATGGTGAACTGGATGTTTGGGTGGATGCTGTTAAGATGGTCCAGGAACCTGTTGAGTTCTTCTTCTCCATGGCTCCAAATGGTGAAGGTGTCATCCACATATCTGAACCATATCGTGGGCTTTTTGGTTGCTGTCTCCAGGGCTTGTTTTTCAAAGTGTTCCATGTAGAAGTTAGCTATGACCGGGCTGAGAGGGCTCCCCATAGCTACTCCATCTTTCTGTTCGTAGAATTCATTGTCCCACTGAAAGTAACTGGTGGTGAGGCAATGGTGAAACAGAGCCGTGATGTCTTCTGGGAACCTCTGGTTGATGAGTGCCATGGTGTCTGCTACCGGGACCATGGTAAATAGAGACACCACATCAAAGCTGATCAGTTTGTCGTTGGTATTTACAGTTCTTGTGTCCATGGTCTTGGGATTTAGTCATGTTCTCATGGGACTTTGTTTCGTTGGTGCCTCTTGGAATCCTGCTTTATAGTGCTATGGTTTATTGATCTTTGGAACACTACTTGCTTTTTAAACTTTTCATCTTTTACTTTTTAATAAACTACAAAGACTTCAGCCTATGTGCAGTTCTGGCGATTTCAGCAAGGTGAATCTATTCTGAGGTGCAACAGGTAGGAACAAGAAGAAAGCAGGGACTGCTCCTCTCTCACGGCTGGCTCTTTCTTCCCTTCCAGATGTGGACGAGTGCCAGCTTTTCCAGTCCAGCCGGCACACCCGCATCTGCCTCCACGAATGCGTGAACCTGCCGGGGTCCTACCAATGCACCTGCCCCAAAGGCTACCGCTTCCAGGCCGAACAGAACACCTGCAATGGTGAGTTCCATAGACAAAAAAAGGGGGAGAACTTGGGAGCTTTATCCATTAGGGGCGTGCAAAGGTTTGTTTCTGATTCGTTTTGCGAATCACATTCGTTAGATTTGTGTGTACGAATCAATATTAGAAACATGCAGGAAAGGTGGGGGGAATTTAAGATTCTGTAACATTCGAATGCCTCTCAAGGTCAGTTAAATTTTCAGTATAAGCAACAACAACAACAACACTTAATTTATATTCCGCCCTATATCCCCAAGGGGATAACACTACACATACACGGCAAACATTCAGTGCTATTTTGGGTAGACAGGACAAAGGCTGACAGAACAGAAAGGAGGTATGTTGTGTCGACGTCCAGCTTTTTGGCGCCTTGGAGGTTGTGCTCGAATCCAGCCACGGGGGCTGCTGTCGTTCCATCTCCTATGACCAAGAGCCATCAGAACTTTCTTTTTGTTGCTGGGCATTTTCTGATCTTTTTTCTTTGTGGTGTTGTAAAATACCTCCTTTGCTTGTTTTAGCAGTACCTAATTTCTCTACTTACAGCTCAAGCTGTTTTCAAACTGTTTAGGTAAACAGTGAGCTGGGCTGACAGTCGGGAGCTCACGCCGACCTGGGGCTTCGAACTGGCAACCTTTCGATTGGTAGACTTGATCATTGCCCAGCCTTTTGGTAAAGTCAAGAGAACATCAAGTGTTTTAAAAACCCATCCTTTTTCTTCAGCCAGACCATAGAATCATAGAATCAAACAGTTGGAAGAGACCTCATGGGCCATCCAGTCCAACCCCCTGCCAAGAAGCAGGAATACTGCATTCAAATCACCCCTGACAGATGGCCATCCAGCCTCTGTTTCAAAGCTTCCAAAGAAGGAGGCTCCACCACACTCCGGGGCAGAGAGTTCCACTGCTGAACGGCTCTCACAGTCAGGAAGTTCTTCCTCATGTTCAGATGGAATCTCCTTATGGAATCACCATAAGGAAGGAACTAGGGGGTGGGACTAGCAAACTTGGGCGGGAGACAGAGAACACAGCATTCTGGGAAATGTAGTTTGGGAAGGTGAGGCCTCCTGTGGCAGAGAATGCAAAAGGCCCTGACCTAAACTGCATTTCCCTGAATGCAATGCTCAGCATCTGAAAGCTCCAAATAGGGCTGCAAAGCACACACCTGCATTTTAGATGGATTAGGAATCAGCTGGTTTTCCCTGTAATCGGCAGTAAGAGCACCTAAAGCTTCGGAGAGCTTCTGTTCAACCATTTCAAAGCTCCCTGCTTCAGCGGTGATAGCACGATCGTCAGCATAGATGAAACTCTCTGTCCCTTCTGGCAGTGGCTGGTCATTTGTTTAAATGTTAAACATGGATGGAGCAAGCACACTCCCCTGAAGCAGGCCGTTCTTCTGTCTTTGCTATCTGCTTCTCTGGCCCTTTAACTCAACAAAAAAGCTCCTGTTTTGTAGTAGATTTCCCATAAAGCGGGTGAGGTGGTAATCCTTTGTAATATTATATATATCACCAGAAGCAACTTGCAGTATTCACTATTAATTTCCTTCCAGTTGGTTAAACTTCCATAACTATAACAGTGAGACAAATATTCCTGGGTAGGAAAGAGTTCTATATGATGTTTGGAAGGCGAAAGGTTTTGAGGACTTTATGATAGAGACTTTGGGTCCATATAATGAAGATTTATTTTCCTTTGTTATGTTTGCAAGATGTGGACGAATGCGCCGAAAACCAGCACAACTGCAGCCGTGGACAGACCTGCGTCAATGTCTTTGGGGGTTTCCGATGCGTCCGGCCCGAGTGTCCCAAGACCTTTCTCAACACGACCTACGTCAAGACCTCACCCTTGTAAGTAGAAGCCAGAGATGTAACCGGCATTGAAAAATCCATCAAACCAAATTAGCAACAATACTGATAGATTTGAGCCTGTGTCCCAACAACAACAACAACAAAAAACCCCACACTTAAGGTCTCTTTCAGATAGCAGGCACAGATAGCACTTGGAAAGCAGTTGTATTCTTTGGGATCCTGAGATGTATAGTTTGGAGCTTGAAGAGAATTCTAGATGTCTTAGAAAACTATGACTCCCCAGTAGTGTCTAAGTGCAATGTGAAATGGATGTGAGAAGTAAGGCATTGTGTAAACTATTGCAAAAGAGCCACAAAGCACACAAATAAACAAACAATATTGATAAAACACAAGAACAGGAGGGGAAATAAATGGTACACAATTGTGGGTCAATGAAGAGTCTGGACACTTAAATAAATCCATATTTTACTGGACACAGAAGTAGTGAGTAGCTCCATAAAGGACTTTATAATTGATGTAATCTTATCATGGTTTTGAGCATTAACGACAACTCTTGCTTTGAAAAATGGGTCTAAGGCAGAAAGACAAAGGTTGCCAAAGAAGCATCCTCACATGTGGTGCACCTTCACTGTTGATTTAATGCAGTTTGGCACCACTTTAACTCAATGGGAGTTGTTTCATGAGGCATCAGCCCTCTTTAGCAGATTCTAAAAAGATTACAAATTGTGTCACCATGGTGTTTTGCTTCCTTCCCGCAGGCAGTGTGAGCGCAGCCCTTGCCCCATGGAGAGCCGTGCCTGCCGGAAAGCGGCCCACTCGGTCTCCTTCCACTACCTGTCGCTGCCCTCCAACCGCAGCGTGCCCAGGGTCCTCTTCAAGATGTCCGCCAGCCGCTTTGTGGGGGACAGCCTCCGCTTCGGCATCCTGGGGGGCAATGGCCACGGGAGGCTGGTGGTCCAGCGCTCGGACCAGCACACCGGGGAGCTGGTGCTGACCCGGCCGGTGGTGGGGCCGGCCACACTAGAGGCCGAGCTGGAAATGAGCGAGTTCGCCCGGAAGGACCTCTTGGGCAAGCACGTCTTCAAGGTCACTGTCTTCGTGTCCCAGTATGAATTCTGAGGCTCTTCCTTCCTGGAGGCATCTCGGCCTGGAGAGACATTGCGGGCCACATCTGAAGACAGCCTTGGAAAATTATGACCTTCTCTCTATTCCAGTGGTTCTCAACCTGTGGGTCCCCAGATACTTTGACCTTCAACTCCCAGAAATACTAACAGCTGGTAAACTGGCTTGGGTTTCTGGGAGTTGTAGGCCAAAACACCTGGGGACCCACAGGTTGAGAACCACTGCTCTATTCGGATACGTTGATGCTCAATGCCTACATTTCCAATTAAGTCATTCTCTCCAGAACCATTTGCTGTTTCTCCTTCTGCACAGTATGGATTTCCTCCATGTGTGATGATGGCAGAACTTTGATAGCAGTCAACGCCACTCGCAAGAGGATCTTGGAAATATCTTTCATGCTATAGCAAAGATATGTTGATGCTCAATGCTCGTATTTCCAATTAAGTCATTCTCTCTATTCGGAATCATTCCTTGCTTCTCCTTCTGTTGTTGTTTATTTGTTCAGTCGCTTCTGACTCTTTGTGACCTCATGGACCATCCCATGCCAGAGCTCCCTGTCGGCCGTCACCACCCCCAGCTCCTTCAGGGTCAAGGCAGTCACTTCGAGGATACCATCCATCCACCTTCACCACCCCCAGCTCCTTCAGGGTCAAGACAGTCACTTCGAGGATACCATCCATCCATCTTGCCCTCGGTCAACCCCTCTTCCTTTTTCCTTCCATTTTCCCCAGCATCATTCTCTTCTCCAAGCTTTCCTGTCTTCTCATGATGTGGCCAAAGGACTTCCATCTTTTCCTCTAATCTCCTTCCTGAAGTATGGACTGGTTGGATCTTCTCGCAGTCCAAGGCACTCTCAGAACTTTCCTCCAACACCACAGTTCAAAAGCATCGATCTTCCTTCGCTCAACCTTCCCTATGGTCCAGCTTTCCTTCTACACAGTATGGATTTCCTCCACGTGTGATGATGGCAGAACCTTGGTAGCAGTCAACGTGACTCGCAAGAGGATCTTGGAAATATCTTTCATGCTATAACAAAGATATGTTGATGCTCAATGCCCATATTTCCAATTAAGTCATTCTCTCTATTCAGAACCATTCGTGGCCTCTCCTTCTACACAGTATGGATTTCCTCCACGTGTGATGATGGTAGAATCTTGGTAGCAGTCAACGCCACTTGGAAGAGGATCTTGGAAATACATTTCATGCTATAGCAATGATATGTTGATGCTCAATGCTCGTATTTCCAATTAAGTCATCCTCTCTATTCGGAATCATTCCTTGCTTCTCCTTCTATTTGTTCAGTTGCTTCTGACTCTTCATGACCTCATGCACATTCCCATGTCAGAGCTCCCTGTCGGTCGTCACCACCCTCAGCTCCTTCAGGGTCAAGACAGTCACTTCGAGGATACCATCCATCCATCTTGCCCTCGGTCAACACCTCTTCCTTTTTCCTTCCATTTTCTTGGAAATACATTTCATGGAGGATCTTGGAAATACATTTCATGCTATAACAAAGATATGTTGATGCTCAATGCTCATATTTCCAGTCTAGTCATTCTCTATTTGGAATCATTCCTTGCTTCTCCTGCTACACAGCATGGATTTCCTCCACGTGTGATGATGGCAGAACCTTGAAAGCAGTCAACACCACTCACAAGTAATGCTGTAGCAAAGTTATGTTGATGCTCAATGCCTGTGATTCCAACCGAATCATCCTCCGTATTTGGAACCATTTGTGGCTTTTCCTTCTACACAGTATGGATTTCCTCCATGTGTGATAATGGCAGAACCTTGGTAGCAGTCAACGCCACTCGCAAGAGGATCTTGGAAATATCTTTCATGCTATAACAAAGATATGTTGATGCCCAATGCTCGTATTTCCAGTTTAGTCATTCTCTATTTAGAATCATTCCTTGCTTCTCCTTCTATACAGTATGGATTTCTTCCACGTGATGATGGTAGAACCTTGAAAGAAGTCAAGACCACTCACAAGTAATGATATAGCAAAGTTATGTTGATATACAATGCCTTAATTCCTAGTCTGTGTTTCCAATGACGTCATTCTTTCTATTTGGAACCATTCGTGACCTCTCCTTCTACACAGTATGGATTTCCTCCACGTGTGATGATGGCAGAACCTTGATAGCAGTCAACTCAACTCACAAGAGGATCTTGGAAATATCTTTCATGCTACAGCAAAGATATGTTGATGCTCAATGCCTGTATTTCCAATTGAATCATCCTCCGTATTTGGAACCATTTGTGGCTTTTCCTTCTACACAGTATGGATTTCCTCCATGTGTGATAATGGCAGAATCTTGGTAGCAGTCAACGCCACTCGCAAGAGGATCTTGGAAATATCTTTCATGCTATAACAAAGATATGTTGATGCTCAATACTCATATTTCCAGTTTAGTCATTCTCAATTTGGAACCATCTGTTTCTTCTCCTTCTACACAGCATGGATCGCCTCCACGTGTGATGATGGTAGAACCTTGAAAGAAGTCAACACCACTCACAAGTAATGCTGTAGCAAAGTTATGTTGATGTTCAATGCCTTAATTCCTAGTTTGTGTTTCCAATTAAGTCATCCTCTCTATTTGGAACCATTCGTGGCCTCTCCTACACAGTATGGATTTCCTTCACATGTGATGATGGCAGAACCTTGATAGCAGTCAACGCCACTCGCAAGAGGATCTTGGAAATATGTTTCATGCTAAAGCAAAGATATGTTGATGCTCAATGCTCGTATTTCCAATTAAGTCATTCTCTCTCTTTATTTATGGCCTGATTTTAGAGGTTTTTTTAAAAATACTAGTAGTCAGATTTTGTTCATGTTCAGAGATTCCTCCTTTCTGTTGAAAATTTCCACATGTTTGTGGATTTCAATGGCTTCTCTGTGCAGTCTGTGTCCAGGTTGGTTCATTGAGTTCATCAACCAGAGAAGTCTGCCGTAGCAGAGCACTTGATGAACCAACTTGGACACAGAATATTATTTGGGAACACAGAAATCCTTGACCACCCTGACAACCACCATGTCAGGCTACACAGAGAAACGTGTGGACAATTTCAATAGAAATAGAATTTCAGACAGGAAACAATCAGGGCTGGGGAACACCTCCCAACAAAGGATTCCCCCAGACACAAAGCGGCCAGGCTTTGAAACAGCAAGGCCATTCAATGCTAATCAAGGTGGCCAATTGCAACAAGCAGACAAGAGTTCTTTCTCCCACCCTGGACATTCCACAGATATATAAATCCCACTTGCCTAACTTCCAACAGACCTCACAACCGCTGAGGATGCCTGCCATAGATGTGGGCGAAGCGTCAGGAGAGAATGCTTCTGGAACATGACCAGGCAGCCTGGAAAACTCATAGCAACCCAGTGATTCCGGCCATGAAAGCCTTCGACAACACATTCAAGAGAAGGACGTTGCCATCTAAGTCATTTTGCTCCTGTAAGGCTGCCTTGAAAGTATATAAAATACCAAAGTTGTAAAAATTCTCAATATCAGCCCATATTTATCTTTCTGGTCTTCGAAGGGAAAAAAAAAGTTGCATAGTAACCGTGCAAACACGGCTTACAAAAAAATAGGTTGCATCCTGAATTGTATGATGATGCATAGAAGAGTTGTGTTGTTGTGTGCCTTCGAGTTATTCCATATACACATAGACATATACTTTTAGTATGCAGATAAAAAGGGAAGGAGGCAAATGCAACAGATCCAGAAATGGGGGAATCTGTTACGGAAAAAGGCAGTCGTTGCAAATGCCAATCACAAATGTGATTCCCAAAGGAGTCAAGCAGCTTATATAATGCAAACATACCTTGTTCCTTGCAGACTTTCTCCTAGTCTCAGATTAAATAGGTGAAGCATCTGTTCTGTTCTTTCTTTGCAATGCCATGCTCAGGTCCCAAATTTCTGTTGGCTTTAAAATGGCATCGCTGCCTGCTCTAGCTTGGTATCAGAGGTAGAAAATATAAAAACTATAGATACGAATACTTATCACCTTTACTTGTGCAGGTACCGGTCATTAAAACATTGTGTCACATGGAAAAATTTCTTTGTAGGACAATAAACTTTTACCTGCAAAAATGCCATCCTGTTCCTGTTTTATTAATAATCTATACACCTAAAAAAAGTGAAAAAAGCATTGCAGCGCACCCAAATCCCTGGGAGTCATTCTGGACCGTGCTCTGACCTACAGGAAGCACTGCCTGAACATCAAGCAAAATGTGGGCACTAGAAACAATATCATACGAAAGCTGACTGGCACAACCTGGGGATCACAACCAGATACAGTGAAGACATCTGCCCTTGCGCTATGCTACTCTGCTGCTGAGTATGCATGCCCAGTGTGGAACACATCTCACCACACTAAAACAGTGGATGTGGCTCTTAATGAGACATGCCACATTATCACGGGGTGTCTGCACCCTACATTACTGGAGAAATTACACTGTTTAGCCGGTATTGCACCACCTGACATCCACCGGGAAGTAGCAGCCAATAGTGAAAGGACCAAGGCAGAGACATCTCCAGCTCATCCTCTGTTTAGGTATCAGCCAGCACATCAACGACTCAAATCAAGAAATAGTTTTCTTAGATCTAAAGAGACACTCGCTGGAACACCTCAGCAAGCGAGAGTCCAAAAGTGGCAGGCCCAAACCCAGCACCTCAATCCGTGGGTGATACCAGATGAGAGACTCCCCCCTGGGCACACAGAAGACTGGGCGACTTGGAAGGCGCTGAACAGACTGCGCTCTGGCAACACGAGATGCAGAGCCAATCTTAAGAAATGGGGCTACAAAGTGGAATCCACGACATGCGAGTGCGGAGAGGAGCAAACCACTGACCACCTGCTGCAATGCAACCTGAGCCCTGCCACATGCACAATGGAGGACCTCCTTGCGGCAACCCCAGAGGCACTCCAAGGGGCCAGAGACTGCTCAAAGGACATTTAATCAGCTACCAAGTTTGCAAAATTTGTGTGTTTTTTTCATCTGTTTGTTTGTTTTGTTCTGTTAGAAATGTAATACAATGTTCTGGTTGCAGATGACACGATAAATAAATAAATAAATAAATATAATGAAGTTTCAAACACGTGCCAATTATACTTATTATTACACTTATTATTATTATTATTATTATTATTATTATTATTATTATTATTATTATTATCCCACTTTCCTCCCATGACTGGGACCTAAATATATCTATACACAAAGAAAAAATGAAAATATAATATTATATAATATAATACAGTTTCAAACACATGAGCCAATTATTATTATTATTATTATTATTACCCCACTTTCCTCCCATGACTGGGACCTAAATATATCTATACACATAATAAAAGTGAAAATATGTATGTGTGTATGTGGCTGGAGTGCCTACTCACAAAGGCAAGCTCCTGCCTCCACAAACAGCCATAAGTTCCCACTATTCAGGAGACATCGATGACCCTCCCTCCAATGACATTGCAGGTTATAGTGAGCACCGTAAACATGTCCAAGAGCCCTGCCAATGTCCTCCACCCACACCACACTGCCTACCACCCAAGTGAAGGCTTTCATATGGGGACCATTTTATCCTAGATTGTATGTGTTTCCTCCACCACAGACATCCCAGTGTTTTTGACTCTCTCCATTGGTGTTGAATTTGCATAACTGCCTACTGCCTCTCCCTTAACCCTTCCCACTCTTTTCTATTGCACAGAACAAACAGAGGAATTGAACCTACTAGAGAGGTTTAGGGAGAATTCACCAAGATTTATAGGAGTTGTAGGTCCTGGGATGTATAGTTCACCTGCCCTCTAAGAATTGCACTCTGAACTCCATCTATGATGGACCTGGAACGAACTTGGCACACAGAACCCCCAGCTTTCTGAAGCTAAGCACTGCGTTCTGGGAAATGTAGTTCAGGGCAGGGCCTTTTACATTCTGTCACAGGGAGCCTCGCCTTCCCAAACTACATTGTCCAGAATGCTGTTCTCTCAGTCTTTCACCCAAGTTTGCTAGTCCGACTCTCAGTGCCTTCCTTATGGTGATCGGGCCAAACCAAAACAGGAAAACTGTTTTGTTTTCCTGTTTTGGTTTGGCCCGATCACCATAAGGAAGGCACCATGATTTAGAGGAGTTGTAGGTCCTGGGATGTATAGTTCACATGCCATCTAAGTGCACTCTAAACGCCACCAAAGATGGACCTGGAATTAACTTGGCACACAGAAGCCCCATGACCAACAAAACATACTTTGGAGGTCTTTGGAGGGATTTATAGGAGAGTTGTAGTTCACCTACACCCAGAGCTCACTTTGAACCCAAACAATGATGGATCTGGACGAAACTTGGCATGCATATCCAATCTATTTACAATAATAGAGTAAAATAATAGTAAGCCAGTGGTTCTCAACCTTCCTAATGCCGTGACCCCTGAATACAGTCCCTCATGTTGTGGTGACCCCCAACCATAACATTGTTTTCGTTGCTACTTCATAACAGTCATTTTACTACTGTTATAAATCATAATGTAAATATCTGATATGCAGGATGCATTTTCATTCACTGGACCAAACTGGGCACAAATACCCAATACACCTAAATGTGAATGTTAGTGGGGTTGGGGGAGGATTGGTTTTGTAATTTGGGAGTTGTAGTTGCTGGGATTTATAGTTCACTTATAATCAAAGAGCATTCTGAACTCCACCAGCGATGGATTTGAACCAAGCTTGGCTCCCATGACCAATGGAAAACACTGGAAGGGTTTGATGGGCATTGACATTGAGTTTGGGAGTTCTAGTTCACCTCTATCCAGAGAGCACTGTGGGCTCATGCAATGGTGGATCTGGACCAAACTTGGCACAAATACTCAATATGCCCAAATGTGAATACTGGTGGCGTCTGGGGAAAATAGATCTTGACATTTGGTAGTTGTCGTTGCTGGGATTTATAGTTCATTACAATCAAAGAACATTCTGAACTCCACCAACGATAGGATTGGCTCAAACTCCCCATGACCATCAGAAAATACTGTGTTTTCTTATGGTCTTTGGCGACCCCTCTGTCACCCCCTCGCGACCCCCTCAGGGGTCCCGACCCCCAGGTTGAGAAACACTGTAGTAAGCAAACTTTATTACGGTCGATGACCAGATCATAATGAAATAAAATAATAGAGTAAAATAATAAATGTAATAATAATAGAGTAATAATAGAGTAAAATAATAAATGTAATAAAATAATAATAATAGAATAAAATAATGTCAATGTAATAATAGACTAAGATAATAAATGTAATAAAAATAATAATAAGAGTAAAATAATAAATAACCTAGACTCGGGTATAAGCCGAGGGGAGCTTTTTCAGCCTAAAAAAGGGGGTGAAAAACTAGGCTTATACTCAAGTAAATACAGTACTTGGATTTATAGTTCACCTGCATTCACCAAAAATGGAATTGGACCAAACTTGCACCTTTTCCCTCCTGTTTCCTGCCAATCCTTCTGATAGGTAGCCCTTGAGAAAGAGTGCAGAGAGAAGCAGTAGTAGTTAAAATGACTCTTTTATTGATATACAAACCAGGTAGTCGCTTTCGAAAACCGCTTCGGAACGGGGAAGGACGTGCCGAAGCGCCTCATGACAAAGATGCAGCTTCCCAGTTGAACGGATGGGAAGGCGATCTCTCCAAGCTTCAGAGAAAGGAGTCCTCCAAAGAGGGGTGTCCAAGGTCTCCAAGGATTCCCTCTTTAAGCAATTCAAGCAGACTGTCCTCTGAAAACCCAGGAGATGGTGAGGGACCCCCCAAAGCACCCCCGGCCCTGATATAGCAGAGCCCGTCCCAGGCAAAGCAGCAGAAGAGTCAAGTCTTGGAGGCCGGAGGGAGCCGAGGCCGGGCTCCGTTCCCCTCCGGAAACATTCACGAGTGAGTAAGGCACTCTGAAAGAAGAGGAGAGAGGTCGGCTTGGCCTACGACCTCGAGAAGAGAGCTTTTAACTGGAGAGTAATGCTAAAAAACAAATCCCTGGAGCGAGCGGATGATAGGGGAAGAAGGGTGGGATTCGGCGTCAATGCAAATACGGACCTGTTTAAAGTGCATCAGAAATCCAAAGCGGAGTGACTCTTGGAAGGATGGGTTTGGGGGAGTGTAAGAAGAGGAGAATTGGTAGCAAACGAATTTTCCTGGTAAACTATGCTTAGAAGAGGAAGGTTGCAAAACACGGCTAGGTGAGTGATAGACGGAGCGTGGGAAAACAATAAGCAAACCCTTCTGCTCCATCTCGCTCCTAGAAAAGCACCTTCTGCTTTTGGCATCAAAGCAGCGAAATGACGGATTCGGGAAGCCAAACAGGAGTGGACAACGGCAAGAGGGCAACAGGGGTCAGGTGGTGCCTCCCAACCCAGAATGGGCGCGAAACGGAAGGCAACCTCTACGTTTCCAAACATTTAGCTTGATCTAAATTCACGGAGAGATACTCAAGGGGATATTCCAAAGGTATCTCCACCCAACAAGTGAGAATGAAGCAATACGGGAGGTCCAAGGAGGTTGTGGGGATGGGAGAAAAAAGCAAAACAAGCCTTGGTGAGAAGGAAGCGTTTGCCCCACTTATTCCCGTTTCGGACAAAAGTCCAAAACTCATCTCTTTTGGGTCCAACGCCTCTCTACCTGAGGTGAGGAACCTGCTGGTGAGGAACCTCAACCCAGAGGACATTCTTACACTTAATTTCTCCAGTCCCTTTTTGGCATAGTGTCATCATTACAGTTTGCAACTCAACCCACAAATGGCTACCGGAGAGAACCTGACCGATCCCAAAGTGCTCTCTGTTGCACTCAGGTGGGAAAAACTACTTTGCCTCCTCATTCGAATGTCCGTCAGAAGCCTCAAGAAAGACTCCTCAATCCATGCGAGGAGCCACAAATGGCTACTGGAGAGAACCTGACCGATCCCAAAGTGCTCTCTGTTGCACTCACGTGGGAAAAACTACTTTGCCTCCTCATTCAAATGTCCGTCAGAAGCTTCAAGAAAGACTCCCGTTCACAAAGAAGCATTTGGAGAATCCCAGTTCCAGTCTCAGCTTGAGATTTGAACTGGGAGAGAGTGGGACTAGGGACAGTCCAGTGCTGGGCCTGACCAAAACAGAAACTATCAGACAGTGGACCGGAGTGAAAAAGACAGGCCAACAGAAGACAAGGCATCATCTACGACATGGCTAGGACTCATTGGAAGAATCTCAGAAGCCTTGTTGATATCTCCCCAATCAACTCAAACAAAAATTGAGCCCCAAACCCCACCATTTATGCAGCAGAGCAACACAATATTGATATCGCATGGCATCCTATCAGTGGCAAGCGGAAATCCACCTTACGCCTCCGTACGCATTTTTTTCAGACATCGCAGAGCAAGGGATTCCCTTTCTCCTTACGCAACGGCTCATTCTCTGCATACAAACACACACAAAATCACTGCAGCAAAGGCTCCCATGACTGCTCCGTTGCTAATAAAAAGCAGAAGAGATCAGAGTAGCATCATGTTAAGGTGGATGCTGAACTATCAGAAGAATCCAGTCAATCGCAGATGTTCCAATAGGAACACATCCAGACATGTATCCAATCCCCTCCAGCCTCCATTACCAATGAGGGATCAAGCAGAAGAGATCCCAGAGGCATCATGTTGTGTCTCCAGAGGTGAATACTGAGCTATCCAGAGGAATCTGGTCAATCTCTAGAGATGTTCCAATAGGAACACAGCCAGACATGTCTCCAATCCCCTCCAGCCTCCATTACCAATGAGGGATCCCAGCGGCATCATGTTATGTCTCCAGAGATGGATGCTGAACCATCAGAGGAAACCGGTCAATTGCAGGAGATGTTCCAATAGGAACACAGACAAGCATGTCTCTGATCCCCTTCATCCTCCATTACTAATGAGGGATCAAGCAGAAGAGATCCCAGTGGCATCATGCTATGTCTCCAGAGATGGATGTTGAACCATCCAGAGGACTCCAGTTGATCTCAGGAGATGTTCCAATAGGAACACAACCAGACATGTCTCTGATCCCCTTCAGCCTCCATTACCAATGAGGGATCAAGCAGAAGAGATCCCAGAGGCATCATGTTATATCTCCAGAGATGGATGCTGAACTGTCAGAAGAATCTGGTCCATCACAGGAGATGTTCCAATAGGAACACATCCAGACATGTCTCCAATCCCCTCCAGCCTCCATTACCAATGAGGGATCAAGCAGAAGAGATCTTAGTGGCATCATGTTATGTCTCCAGAGGTGGATGCTGAACTATCAGAGGAATTCGGTCGATTGCAGTTGGTCCAATAGGAACACAATCAGACATGTCTCCAATCCCCTCCAGCCTCCATTACCAATGAGGCATCAAGCAGAAGACATCCCAGCGGCATCATGTTGTGTCTCCAGAGGTGGATGCTGAACTATCCAGAAGGTTCCAGTTGATTCCAGGAGATGTTCCAATAGGAACACATCCAGACATGTCTCCAATCCCCTCCAGCCTCCATTACCAATGAGAGATCTATTCCATAGGAAGTTCTGAGAGCTGGGTTCCACATGCAGAGAGACTTGACCATAAATGATTTCTGCTATTGTTCTTTTGGAGACCTCTGCAGAAAAACGGGAAGACTACACTGTGGCCCGGAAGGTGGACAACTTCCAGTCGTTGGCATGGGAGCCACAAAAGAGCCCGGCTTGCAGCCCTTTGGGGTATGCTCGTTGGCAACCCTACAAGAACGGTCTATAATAATTGATTGCCACTGAAAATCCAACTCTATACTCCCCTTCCTTCCCACCAGTTACAAAAACATACCGCGCAACCAACCGAAGACACAGAAGAAGTGAGGAAAGAGGGGCCACTCCATAGAGCTTATCTCAACGTCATCCCAATCTGATGCCAAGGAGCCTGCGAAGGATGAACAACAATGCTTTTTGGGGTTAGGAGGCTCTTTCCACACTAAATGATTGCACCGCTTCCAAATAAGCGGACGAGTTTTCCTTCTAATTCCTGCCAACCCTTCCAACAAGATGGCCTACAAGAAATGAAGCTGCAAATCGCGACAAAGGAGGAGAAGAGGTCTCTCGTGTGTGCAAAACCTTTGCTTGGGTCCATGGGTGATATGATTAAAGGTCACAAGAGGAGTCCCAAAGCCCGAGCTGAGCACCAGGAGTTGTGCCAGGCCTTGCAATGCCACACAAAGAAGGTTTAGGTCTACACTTCCTCACTTCCTCCCTTCCCAGGAGTTTTTGTGGCCTACTAAGGTGAGAACACAATCAAGGAAGGCAGGAAACCCCTCAAGGTGGGACAGGATAAAATACGGGCATTTACAAAAATGTAACAGACCAGGAAGGCTACTTGGAAGCCTTCTGAGCATCAAGGGAAGAGCCTGGGTGGCCACTGCCCTTTGAGGGAGCTGCGTTGGCCTCACTTTCCCTGGAAGCCGCTCAGCTCCATGTCCTCCTTGCGCCGTCGGGGCGTGAAGAGGGAGCTGAAGGGGTACAGCTTGGCCTTGGCTTGGAAGCGCTGCCCGGCCAGGTCGATCTCGTACTCGCCCCGGTTGACGAAGTCGGGCGTCACCAGCTGGGGCTCCCCGGTCTCGGGGTCCGGGTTCTGGACGAAGCCCAGGCAGACGTGGCGCTCCAGCGTGTAGCTGTAGGCGCTGCTGGTGGTCTTGCCCACGCACTGGCCGTTGCGGTAGATGGGCTCCCCCCACCAGGGCCAGAGGTCCAGGTCCGTGTCGTGGTCCTCCAGGATGAACATGGTGAAGCGCTTGTAGACCCCTTCCTGCTTCTGGCGCATCAGCGCATCCCGCCCTATGAAGTCGGTGCCCTGCAAGGGAGACAGGGAGGGAAAAGGAGGGCATTTCCTCAATTCCTCAGGCACACTTTCCCCCGTAAATAAACATCTTTAAAAATTGGGTCCCCTCTCAGAATCACAGGTGGAGCGTATGTGTTTTTGTTGTCCTGGAATTAGGGTGCGTCTTACAATTGATGGCATCATTCAATGGAAGAAATACAGTAGGTGGGTAGGCAGGCAGGCAAAGAAGTAAGGAGAAATAGTGGATGGATGGATAGATGATAGACACAGACAGACAGACAGACAGACAGACAGACGGATAGATAGAGGGAGGGAGGGAGGGAGGGAGGGAGGGAGGGAGGGAGGGAGGGAGGAGGATGGATAGATGAGATAGATAGGTAGATAGATAGATAGAGGGAAGGAGGGAGGGAGAGAGAGAGGATGGATAGATCAATGGATGGATAGATGATAGAGAAATAAAGATAGATGGATAGATGGATAGATGGATAGATGGATAGATGGATGGATGGATGGATAGATAGATAGATAGATAGATAGATAGATAGATAGATAGATAGATAGATAGATAGATAGATAGGTGGGGTGGGTGGGTGGGTGGAAGGAGGAAGGGAGAGAGGGAATGGATAGATCAGTGGATGGATAGATGATAGAGAGAGAGAGAGAAGGAGGAAGGGAGAGAGGGAGAGAGAAAGAGGATGGATAGATCAGTGGATGGATGGATAGATGAGAGAGAGAGAGATAAAAGGAGGGAGAGAAGGAGGGAGAGAGGATGGATAATCGATGGATAGATGATACAGATAGATAGATAGATAGATAGATAGATAGATAGATAGATAGATAGATAGATAGATAGATAGATAGAGGGAAGGAGGAAGGGGGAGAGAGAGAAAAAGAGAGATAGAGGATGGATAGATCAGTGGATGGATAGATGAGATAGAGAGAGATAAAAGGAGGGAGGGAAGGAGTGAGAGAGAGGATGGATAGATCAGTGGATGGATAGATGATAGAGAGAGAGAGAGAGAGAGAGATAGATGGAAGGAGGAAGGGAGAGAGAGAGAATGGATAGATCAGTGGATGGATAGATGATAGAGAGAGAGAGAGAGAAGGAGGAAGGGAGAGAGGGAGAGAGAAAGAGGATGGATAGATCAGTGGATGGATAGATGAGATAGAGAGAGATAAAAGGAGGGAGGGAAGGAGTGAGAGAGAGGATGGATAGATCAGTGGATGGATAGATGATAGAGAGAGAGAGAGAGGGGGGGAAGGAGGGAGAGAGAGGATGGATAGATCAGTGGATGGATAGATGAGATAGATAGATGGATACTGTATTTCGCCAATTCTTTGACACCCTTTTCTCCCTAAACAGACATCTCTAAAAATGGGGTGCCTCTCAGAATCACAGGTGGATCTTACGTGTTTTTGTTGTTGTCCTGGAATTAGGGTGCATCTTACAATTGATGGCACCATACAATGGAAGAAATATGGTAGGTGGGTAGGCAAGCAGACAAAGAAGGAGAAATAGTGGATGGAGAGATGAAAGAAACACATAGATAGATAGATAGATAGATAGATAGATAGATAGATAGATAGATAGATAGATAGATAGATAGACAGACAGACAGACAGACAGACAGACAGATAGTGTATTTCTCCAATTCTTTGACACACTTTTCTCCCTAAATAAACATCTCTAAAAATGAGGTGCCTCTAAGAATCACAGGTGGATCTATGTGTTTTGTTGTTGCTGTTAGTCCTGGGATTAGGGTGCGCCTTATAATCGATGGCATCACACAATGGAAGAAATAAGGTAGGTAAGTAAGCAGACAGACAGAGGTAAATAGAGATAGTGGATGGATAGATAGTAGAAATAGATAGATAGATAGATAGATAGATAGATAGATAGATAGATAGATAGATAGATAGAGGAAGGGAGGAAGGGAAACAGAGAAAGAGAGAGGATGGATAGATGAGATAGATAGGGAGGAAGATACTGATGAAGAGGTAAGGAGAGATAGTAATGGATAGATGATAGAAACAGATGGGGAGGGAGAGAGAATGAATGGATAGATGAGTGGATGGATATATGATATAGATAGGTAGGTAGGTAGGGAGATAGCGATAGATAGATAGATAGATAGATAGATAGAGGTCAACCCTATACGTGGAGTTGGGAGATGGATGGATGGATGGATAGATACTGTATTTCTTTAATTCTTAGACACATCCCCCCCCCCCCAAATAAACATCTCTAAAAAGTGGGTGCCTTAGAATCACAGGTGTATCATATTCATGTTTCTTGTTGGTCCTGGAAGTAGGGTGTGTCTTATCATCAAAGGCATCATACAATGGAAGAAATAAGGTAGGTAGACAGGCAAGCAAAGAGGTAAGGAGAGATGGCTAGATAATAACTCCCACCTTGGTTGGGAGTCAGCTGCATTAAAATCACTACTGACCGAAAGGTCATGAGTTCGAAGCCAGCTCGGGTCGACATAAGCTCCTGACCATTTGTCTAGCTTGCTGTCGACCTTTGCAGCCTGAAAGACAGTTGCATCTGTCAAGTAGGAAATTTAGGTACCGCTTATGCGGGGAGGCTAATTTAACTAATTTACGATGCCATAAAACTCTCCAGCAGCATGCAAAAGAATGAGGAAGTACTCCATCTGTGTCACAAGTGGACGGTGAAGCGACAGCTTCCCCGGTGGCCGGAATTCTAAGCATACCTCATGAAGCTGAAAAGTTAAATAGCCTCTGTGTGTCTGTCCATATATGCTGTATGTCTAATGGCACTGACTGTTTGCCATGTATATGTGCATTGTGATCCGCCCTGAGTCCCCTGCGGGGTGAGAAGGGCAGAATATAAATACTGTAAATAAATAAAATAAATAGAGATAGATGGAGGGAGGGAGATGGATAGATGATGGATAGATGGTATGAATGGTGTATTGCCAGTTGCGAACAAATGCCCACATCCATTCATGACCACTACTGTGTTGGGAGTGAAGGGATAACTCCAAAGACACCCCCACCCGCCCGCCCCCCGCCTGGTCCCTTCACTTGCCTTCTCCAGCTTAACCCGGAACTCGCGCCCGCACTCCAAGGGGGTGGTGAAGGCGTCCAGGTCTTGGCCCCAGAAGGCAAAGAACTTCTCGATGCGGAGGCTGCGCAGCGCATAGTAGCCCGAGTTCCGGATACCGTACTTCTGCCCGACGCTCATCACTTCATTGTAGACGTGCAAAGCGTACTGGGAGGAGGGAAGACGGAACAGAGTCACTCCAATGAAGTTTTTAAAGGTTTTCAATTCTCTGTGTTATTGTTTATATGTGTGTTATATTCATTGCACTGTTTTATTTGCTTGCGGTTTTGTTTTTACTGATGTGTTGTTGGGCTTGGCCTCTTGTAAGCCGCCCCGAGTCCCCTTGGGGAGATGGTGGCGGGGTATAAATAAAGATTATTATTATTAAGATTCAACCCCACAATCAAACGAGACGAGGCCTCCCGATAAGGCCAAGTTCCCTTTCTTTATATTTTCCCCGTCAACACGATTCCAAACTCAGATTGTGCTCAAACAGAACTTGCACAACACTCCTGTTTGTCTGCAAATCTTTGATGCGCACAACACACAACACATAGCATAAGCGTAACACACTGCATAAGCTGCAATGGAGGACCTGCAATGGAGAGCCAGTCTTAAATGTCAGAGTTTGGCGGTGCACGGCGGAAGGATTGCTAGATCAGCAGACACTGCGTTGCAAAATAAGGACTCTGCAGGCTTTGAGTTACAAAAGAAACTAAGTTTTACTAAGCACATTCAAAAGACACGTCTTACTACAGCAAGCTACAATTCAGGAACAAGTCAAAACGAAAGTCTCTTCACATCTGCTAATCTCTTCTTCCTGAGACCGGTTACTCCCTTCTGTTCCCAGCAAGAGCAAACATTATCTTACTTCTCTCAAGGTCACATAATCACAGCCTCATGGAATAAACATTCTGCACAGCATTTCTAATTGTTGCAACCCAGAGCAGGAAACTGGACCCTAAGACAACAATCCACCACACTTGACTTCAGGAAAAAAAACAATCCTTTTTATTGATGAAAGATGAGTACAAAAATAGAGGAAAAATGCAAGGTAAAAAGCCACAGTAAAAATCAGCAACAAGAAATGTCCATGAACAAAATCAAAGACCCACAGTAACACTGCTAAATCCTGGAACTTGTTAGCAATCCACTAACCGTACTAGAAGCACTAGAAAAATTCCTTGGAACAAAGCCACTGGAAGCAGGAGAATTGCAAAAGTCTGCACATAAATCTGAAACGATGCCTGGACTAAATGGGCATCCAGGCCAAGCGTTTTTAAAGCATAGAAATCTATTTTGTGACGTGCCTGAAGGCCGTGTTTGCATTTCCCTTAATCTAGCTGACCTCCGTAAACTCTGCGCTTCGCCTCTGCTTTGCCAAATCTGCCCCCGTCTATCCTCATTAGAGGGACCAGGTGTCAGATTATCTGGAGAACTAAAAGGGAGTGAAAGTTCAACGCTTGGCTCTGAATCATTCTCATGGGAATTTGGACTTTTGTTTTCCAAAGCAGCAGGATTTTCACTACACAAACCGTCATCTTCTACATTGACCTCAGAATCATTGACATCAGGAAATACAATCAGAGAGTCAGGTACAGGTTCACACACAGGCTGAACCCCAACACTAATACACAGTAGAATCCATCTTGGAAATACATAGAAGCACATTTAAAACACATACATAACTAAATTAATCCTGACATTAAAAAACGAGGCTACAAAGTGGAGTCCAGGACATGTGGGTGCGAAGGAGAGCAAACCACAGACCACTGACTGCAATGCAGCCTGAGCACAATGCAGCCACAGGCAAATAATAATAATAATAATAATAATCAACATCATCATCATCTTTATTTATATCCCGCTACCATCTCCCAAGGGACTCGGTGCGGCTTACATGAGGCCGAGCCCACAATACATCAACGATAAAGCAATAAGAAAACAATCAATACAACAGTTAAAATAAATCTCATAAACAAAAGTAAACAATAAACAGTAACAATAACAACAAGCATTTTAAACCTATGGCTGGGCCAAATGCAATAATTTAAAAATTAAAAAATAATGCTGGACATGGACAAGGTAGGATATAACTGGGATAGAGTTTTCAGGTAGAGATGGGGCGCACGGACAATCCTAAATCAGTGATAAAGTGCATTTAGGGACATATTGCTGAGGGCATTTCCTTATTCTGGGAAGGCACACTGGAACAACCACGTTTTCAGGCTCCTCCTAAAGACTGCCAGAGTTGGGGCTTGCCTGATGTCCCTGGGAAGCGGGTTTCAGAGTTGAGGGGCCACCACCAAGAAGGCCCTCTCCCTCGTCCCCACCAATCGTGCTTGTGATACAGGTGAGAGCGCGAGCAGGGCCTCTCCAGATGATCGAAGAGATCGTGTGGGTTCGTACGCAGAAATGCGGTCACGCAGGTAGATGGGTCCCAAACAGTTTAGGGCTTTGTAGGTAAGAACCTGCACCTTGAATTGGGACTGGAAAATGAACGGTAAGCAGTGGAGCTCCTTAAACAGGAGGGTTTAGAAGCACCGGTTAGTAACCTAGCTGCCACCCGTTGTACCAATTAAAATTTCCAGGCTGTTTTCAAGGGCAGCTCCACGTAGAGTGCATTATAGATTTATTACGGTCTTTGACCAGCACAGTACAGAATGGGGCATCGGTGCCCAAGGAAGGGAATCGCAGTTCCCAAGTAGGTAGTAGGTTTAAAAGTAGGTATAGTTCCCAAGTAGATAAGTAAGTATAAAAGCAGATTAAAAGCAGATTAAAAACATGTTATAAAAGAGACAAATTAAAAAGATAAAACAGACTAAACTTACAGTTTAAAGTGCATGTATGAATCTAAAATAGGGGGCAGCTAATAACAAATATCAGACGACTGGGAAGCTATAAAAGGGATGAGAGGGGAGCATTTACAGCATTTCAATTATTACAGATCATTCTAACTATATTCCCGGCAGGAAGTTGCCTGGTAGAGTCGGTCATCAGCCGTCTAATGTTAATTGCTGCTGCACAGAACTTGGCAACACTGTAGGTTGTCGCAGAGCAAGAGTCCGAGAGCAACAGGGAGGTGTAATATCTTTCAGTGCGCCCTGGATGTTTTAAAAGCCATGGAGTGATGAAATTAGCTCTAATGTCTCTATAGAACACACATTGGAGGAGCACATGTTCAGTTGTTTCGATGTAGCCAGACTCACACGGGCATAGTCTCTCCTGGGCAGGGGTCTTCCGGTACCTCCCCTCCAGTACTGCCGATGGGAGGGCATGGCATCTTGCCAAAGTGAAAGCTCTTCGGTGTTTAGGCACTAGGCCTGTGCGGTTTCGTTCGTTAATTCGTTAATTCGTTATTAATTCGTTAATTTTTGCATATACGAAACGACAACAAAACATATCTTCAAACCCGGAAGGGTTTTTAAATATCGAAACGGCAACCCCCACAGTATTAACGAGCTTTCGCCCGTTTCGTAAATGGGGCGGGGCGAAGGGGCGGCGCGAGCGCGCACCCAGTGAGCCAAGCCCCGCCCCTGCCTGTTGGGCGCGAGCGCGGCTCCCGATTGGCCGGCCCGCGCGCGCTCGCCCTTAGGGAGCCAAGCCTTGTTCCTGCCTGTTGGGCGCAATGACATTCTGAAGATGATGCCAAAAAAACCAGCCTGTTGTTCTGCTCCAGTTTAGGGTTTTCCTTTCCCTCACTGGATGTTGGAAATAGCAACCTCCACTAACTGTAAATATAATAAATATATGCATAATTGTTAACCTATATCAGCGGTCGGGAACCTATGGCTCTCCTCCAGGTGTGGTGGACTTCAACTCCCACAATGCCTTGAGGCTCGGCACTAGCGTGCGGGGCCGAAGCGGCGAGGAGGCGCGTTGCCCGCAGGGGTTTCCGCCCGCTCTCCCCCTCCAAGGCCAGCCTTTGCTGCCCGTCCTCCATGAAAAAGAGCCAAGGCTTCCACTTTGTAGCCACTCCAGTGGCTGCCATACATGCAGGCAAAACGTCAGGAGAGAATGCTTCTAGGACAGCGGTCGGGAACCTATGGCTCTCCTCCAGGTGTGGTGGACTTCAACTCCCACAATGCCTTGAGGCTCGGCACTAGCGTGCGGGGCCGAAGCGGCGAGGAGGCGCGTTGCCCGCAGGGGTTTCCGCCCGCTCTCCCCCTCCGAGGCCAGCCTTTGCTGCCCGTCCTCCATGAAAAAGAGCCAAGGCTTCCACTTTGTAGCCAGTGGCTGCCATACATGCAGGCAAAACGTCAGGAGAGAATGCTTCTAGGACAGCCTCGGAGGGGGAGAGCGGGCGGAAACCCCTGCGGGCAACGCGCCTCCTCGCCGCTTCGGCCCCGCACGCTAGTGCCGAGCCTCAAGGCATTGTGGGAGTTGAAGTCCACCACACCTGGAGGAGAGCCATAGGTTCCCGACCGCTGTCCTAGAAGCATTCTCTCCTGACGTTTTGCCTGCATGTATGGCAGCCACTGGAGTGGCTACAAAGTGGAAGCCTTGGCTCTTTTTCATGGAGGACGGGCAGCAAAGGCTGGCCTCGGAGGGGGAGAGCGGGCGGAAACCCCTGCGGGCAACGCGCCTCCTCGCCGCTTCGGCCCCGCACGCTAGTGCCGAGCCTCAAGGCATTGTGGGAGTTGAAGTCCACCACACCTGGAGGAGAGCCATAGGTTCCCGACCGCTGTCCTAGAAGCATTCTCTCCTGACGTTTTGCCTGCATGTATGGCAGAAATAACGAAGCTTCGGAAGTGTTTTTTTACGCATGCGCGGGGGTCCGCCATCTTTACAAAATGTTTTGTAAATATTTACGAAATTTCGTAAATACCAAAACTTTTTTGGGAAAATTTTGTAATTATTTTAAATATCGAAACAAAAAAACACCCCAATTACAAATCGATTTTAGAAACAAATTTTTTCTTGATCAAACAGGCCTATTAGGCACCTCCAGGTTAGCTACGTAAGGCATGGGAGCGATGAGCTATCTGCTATCTTCGCTAATGGTGAATGCTGGAGAGCAGGCTAAGTCTGATTGTCGCTCTCTATCCAGGATCCGTTGTCTAATAAGAGCCTTGGCTTGGTCCCATCCCATACCTAGCAGTTGTCCTTGAGAGAAGCCTAGAGTTGCGATTTTGATTGCCACTGCCTTATTCCATGTAGACTGAAATTCATCTCTCAGGGTTAATGGAGCAAGGCCACATGTTGAGAAAGACAGATGCAGCCAATAATTGAGTGTGGCTGCATTACAGTAGTCCAATCTGGAGGTGACTAAGGCATGGACTACCCTGGTCAGATCTGAAAATGGAGGACCTTCTCACAGTGACACCAGAGGCACTCCAAGTTGTCAGCTTCTGCTCCAAGGACATTTAGTACAATGCCAAGTTTTTAACTTTGTGGTTTTTCTATACATTACAACCACATTCTCAATTTGCTTCTGACACATAATTATTTCACATTAACCACATCATTGTAATACTGGAAGAAAACAGCATTTGCAAACAAACGGGGCTCTTTCCCCACGTTCCCAATTCATCCAATTAGCAGAACGACTACGTCAAGAAACATCACCAACAACCCTATTCCTGGAAGACATGAAGGACCTTCTTTGAGCAAAGCGTGTTCCTTGAACAGGAAGCGGCGTCTGGCTGGGCAGAAAGGGAGCCTTGTGCGGACGCTACCTTTTGAGTCTCAAGCAAGCCCAATATTATATATATATACATATACACACACACACACACACACACACAAAAGGGAGCGGCATTCTCGAAATGCCCGACTTTGGGTCAGACTCTGGCCAGCCAAGTTGGGAGACAACTCCAGCCTTTCACATCAGATTTCCAAAAAATGAATCTACGGCATGGAAATGGAAATCCAGACTCTGCAACGAATCAGATTATTCACTATGTATTTGAGCCCATGATTTTGGGATATAAATGAGCCTCTTCAGTGTTTGATATTCTTGGCAAAGATACCGAGAAACAACACTGCTGCTTTCCCCTTGCGACTAACTCCTGGGTGGATTGCATCTGAGGGTTGAATGAAAAGTAATGCCTCCACCTTCGTTACTTGGGTTTGGATGGGAATCTATATATATAAAAATAAAAAGGGCGTCCAACGGGACAGCAAAACTAAAAAAAAACCCCGACGAAAATTTACCAAAATTCCCATGCACATACCTCAACCCACAAGGTATGCACAAATCTATATATATATATAAATGCTCTGTGCATAAGGAGTACCTTAAAAACGAAAGAACCAATGAACAAAATCACACCAAACTTGGCAACAAAATGTCTCACAACACAAGGAGTGGCCATCACTCAAAAAATTATGATTTTGTCATTTGGGAGTTGTAGTTGCTGGGATTTGTAGTTCACCTATAATCAAAGAGCATTCTGAACTCCACCAACAATGGAATTGAACCAAACTTGGCACGCAGGCCTCCCATGACCAACAGAGAATATTAGCAGCGTTTGGTGAGCATTGACCTTGAGTTTGTGAGTTGTAGTTCACCTACATCCAGAGAGCACTGTGGACTCAAACAGTGATGGATCTGGACCATACTTGGCATGAATATTCCATATGCCCAAAAATGAACACAGATGGAGTTTGGGAAATAGACATTTGGGAGTTGTAGTTACTGGGATTTATAGTTCACCTACAATCAAAGACCATTCTGAATGAAGCCCACGAATCACAGAACTGGGGCAAACTTCCCACACAGAACTGCCATGACCAACAGAAATACTTAAGGCCATCCTGTCAACTCCCTTCAGCAGGGCAAGAAAACATAATCAAAGCCCTCCTGACAGAGAGCCATCCAGCCATAGACATATATAGATATAATGATTCACACACAAGAGACACACAAGAGACACACACACAGATACAGTATCATAGATATGAAAGGGACCTCTAAAGAAGGACAATTATATGTTGCATGTTCCAGAGTAGTCAAACCAGACACTCTCCACATCAACACTGACAAGAAATAACAAGAAATGCTGTTTATCCACAAGCAGAAAGAAATTACATATATTAGAAACCAACACTTTCTCATTACTTTATTTTCCAGATCAACAAACTGGGCCACAGCAATGCGTGGCAGGGGATGGCTAGTATTTTAATAAATAAATAAATACATACACACATACATAATAAATCAATCAATCAATCAAATGCAGAAATAATCCTTAGAATGTGCTCTTTAACGACCACCATTCACTTTTCCACATCATCACCAGACAATTGGATGCATTTCTGCCAACGATGAACAAGTTTTATTTATTTATAGTATTTATATTCCGCCCTTCTCACTCCGCAGGGGACTCAGGGCGGATTACAATGTACATATACATGGCAAACATTCAATGCCATAGACACACAACATATGACCATCCCGCTCTGGTCACATCCCGGCTTGACTACTGCAACGCTCTCTACGTGGGGCTGCCCTTGAAGACGGCCCGGAAGCTTCAGCTGGTTCAGCGCGCGGCAGCCATGTTACTAACTGGAGCGGGATACAGGGAGCACACAACACCCTTGTTGTCCCAGCTCCACTGGCTGCCGATTTGCTACCGGGCCCAATTTAAGGTGCTGGTGTTGGCCTACAAAGCCCTAAACGGTTCCGGCCCAAAATTTCTTTCTGACCGCAACCAGACCCAATTCAAGGTGCTGGTTTTGGCCTACAAAGCCCTAAACGGTTCCGGCCCAAAATACCTTTCCGACCGCATCTTGGCCTACGAGCCCACGAGGACCTTGAGATCGTCTGGGGAGGCCCTCCTCTCGATCCCGCCTGCGTCACAGGCACGACTGGCGGGGACGAGGGAGAGGGCCTTCTCAGTGGTGGCCCCCCGGCTGTGGAACACTCTCCCTACAGACATCAGGCAGGCGCCCTCCCTTATGTCCTTCCGAAAAAGCCTTAAGACATGGCTGTTCGAGAGGGCATTTAATTAAGTGCTATAATAATGTGGTAAAGATGACTGGAATGGAACAAGGAATACGAGATTGGTTACGATTCTACTACGAGACGAAGCGGATTAGTTAGTGTAATTTTATGATTGTTGTATTGTTGTATTGCTGATGAGTTGTTGTAATTGCCTTTTTGTAAACTGCCTTTTATACTGTACACCGCCATGAGTCGCCCTGGAGGGCTGAGAATGGCGGTTAATAAATGCATCAAATAAATAAATAAATAAATATATAGACAGACTGTCGCAGCTCAGAGTAGAGTCACCTTGCTCCAAACACCAAACCACACAAAGGCTGAAGGCCAAAAAAAGGCCTGAAAAACTAGGCTTATACTCAAATATATACAGTATTTAATATTTAAGACCATCTCAATAACAGAAAACAGAACCGCTCTGAGTTGCCTCTGGGCTGAGAGGGGTGGTATATAAATATAGTAAATAAATAAATATTTTTTTCTCCTTGCAAACTGAGCCTTAATGCAAAACCCACCGGTTTGGGGATAAGCGCTTTTGCAGCTCCTTTGGTCTTGGTTTGTTGCCTCCCTTCATTGCAACAGGATTTCAAATCCACACACAACCTTCTGTGTTTATTCTAACCAACCAGCTACATTTTTTGCACTGATTCTGAATTATATACTAATGCTTTTCTGTCAAGTTGCTTTGGGTCCCAACAACAACAAGCGTGCAAGCGCCTCTCACCTCAATGGGAATGTAGAGCATGAAGCCAGGCTCCCCGGTGTGGGTCATGCTCATGACGCGGATGCCGTTGGCGTAGCCCACGCTCATCTCCTGCGGAAACAAGGCCCAAGATAGAATAGGATGACAGTATTGTCTCTGTAATCTATATATACGAAAATGTAATGTTAGTTTGTGAGATTAGCATAACTCAAAAACCACTGAGTGAATTGACACCAAATTTGGACACAAGACACCTCTCAGGCCAACGAGTGACCATCACTCGTAAAAACACCGAAAAACACAGCAGAAGGGACTTCAAAAGCAAAAAAAACACCCAAAAACATTACAACGCATGCGCAAAACATATACACAAACACACATACACAGAAAGAGAGAAGGGGGAGTGAAAGAAGGAAAGAAAGAAGGATAGAGAAAGAAGGAGGGAGAGAAGAAAGGAAAGGAGAGAAAGAAGGGGAAGGAGAGGAAGAAGGAAAGAAAGGTAGAGAAGGAAGGAGGGAGAGAAAGAGGGCAAGAAGAAGGGAAAGAAGGAAAGAAGGAAAGAAAAAGGGTAGAGAAGGAAGGAAGAGAGAAAAGGAAGGAAGGAAAGAAGGAGAGAAGGAAGGAGGAAGGAGAGAAGGGAGAGAAAGGAGTGAAGGAGAGAAAGAAGAAAGGTAGAGAAGGAAAGAAGGAGAGAAAGAAGGAAGAAAGGAGGGAAAGATGAAAAGAAGGAGGGAAGGAGAGAAGAAGAAGAGAGAAGGAAGGGGAAGGAGGGAAGGAGGAGAGAATGAATAAAAAAAGTGAAAGAGGGAAGGAAGAAGGAACAAAAGAGAGAAAGGGGGAGGAAGGAAGGAAGAGAGAGGAAGGATGGAACCAAAGAGCAAAGGAAGCAAGAAAAGGAACGGAGAAGGAAGGAAGAAGAAGGGAAAGAAAAAGAGGGAAGGAAGGTAAGAGGGAGGGAAGGAACGAAGGAGAGAAAGAAAGAAGGAGAGAAAGAGGGAGGGAAGGTTGGCTACAGCAAAGCATGGCGGGTACAGCTAGTCTATATAAATAAAAATGTAATGTTCGTTTATGGGATTAACAGAACTCAAAAACCACTGGGCGAACTGACACCAAATTTGGACACAAGACACCTAACAACCCAATGTATGTCCTTCACTCAAACAAGATGATTTTGTCACTTGGGAGTTGGAGTTGCTGGGATTGATAGTTCACCTACAATCAAAGAGCATTCTGAACCCCACCAACGACAGAATTGGGGCAAACTTCCCACACAGAATCCCCATGACCAACGGAAAATATTGGAAAGGTTTGGCAGACATTGGTTTGAGAGTTGTAGCTCACCTACACCCAGAGAGCACTGCAGATTCAAACAATGATGGATCTGGACCAAACTTTGATTGTAGGTGAACTATAAATCCCAGCAACTACAACTCCCAAATGTCAAGGTCTATTTCCCCCAAACTCCACCAGTATTCACATTTGGGCATATGGAGTATTTGTGCCATGTTTGGTCCAGATCTGTCATTGTTTCAGTCCACAGTGATCTCTGGATGCAGGTGAACTACAATTCCAAAACTCAAGGTCAATGCCCACCAAACCCAGTATTTTCTGTTGGTCATGGAAGTACTGTGTGTCAAGTTTGGTTTAATTCCATTGTTGGTGGAGTTCAGAATGCTCTTTGATTGTAGGTGAATATAAATCCCAGCAACTACAACTCCCAAATGTCTAGGTCTATTTTCCTCAAACTTCACCAGTATTCACATGTGGGCATATGGAGTATTTTTGTGTCAAGTTTGGTCCAGATCCATCATTGTTTGAGTCTGCAGTGTGTCTCTGGATGTAGGTGAACTACAACTCCCAAACTCAAGGTCAATGCCCACCAAACCCTTCCAGTATTTTCTGTTGGTCATGGGAGAACTGTGTGCCAAGTTTCGTTCAATTCCATCGTTGGTGGAGTTCAGAATGCTCTTTGATTGTAGGTGAACTATAAATCCCAGCAACTACAACTCCCAAATTACAAAATCAATCCCTCCCCCAATCCCACCAGTATTCAAATTTGGGTGTATTGGGTATTTGTGCCAAATTTGGTCCAGTGAATGAAAATACATCCTGCATATCAGATATTTACATTACGATTCATAATAGTAGCAAAATTACAGTTATGAAGTAGCAATGAAAATAATTTTATGGTTGGGGGGTCCCCACAACATGAGGGACTGGATTAAGGGGATCGCGGCATTAGGAAGGTTGAGAAACACTGCTTTAAAACCTATGCGCCATCAATAGGACAAGAGATTCCCATAATCAAATCTTCCCCTTCTGTACAGTTCTGAGTTCTTTTCCATCCCTGAAGTGGCTGCTGCTCCTGTATGAGAATCAAAACAATGGAAGAGTCCCATACCTTGCAAAAGAGGGAAGGGAAATGGTCCGGCGTCATGGGCGCATAGGAGAGCTCGGAGAGGACGTCCACCGCGCGGGGACCGATCAGGTTCAAGGCTGCGGAGAGAAGAGAAGAAGGGTTGCCGTCTGTGAGATACCTGCGGAAAAAGATCCCATGCAAGGAGGCCTCCCTCTCCGGACTTCTTCCCTTTTCTCCGCTCAACAAGAGTCAGCTCAACGGAGGTTTAGCACAGCTGGTAAATCATCAGCAATTATAAAGTCTATTAACCAAAAGGTTGCAAATTCGAAACCCTGGGTTGGCGTGAGCTGCTGTCGTCCTAGCTCACTGTTTACCTAAGCAATTCGAAAACAGCTTTAGCTGTAATTAGAGAAATTAGGTACCACTAAAAAGTGGGAGAGGTGCTTTACGACACTATAAAGAAAGAAGATCAGAAAATGCTGAGTGACCAAAAAGAAGGAGGAAGTCCTGACGGCTCTTCGTCATAGGGTATAGAGCAGTGATGGGCAACCTTTTGAGAGTGGTGTGTCAAAATTTGCCAAAAAACTGAGCATAATTCAGGTGGTGTGTCACTTCAAGAAAAAAACCATAATTTCACAATATTTAGTTTAAATAACAAAAAATGTATAATTGTAATTCCCACTTTCTCTCTTATCATGTTGTTCTACCTCTCTTTATGTAAATAATATCCTTTTTGGAGTGTTTAATAAAAATATAATTTTAAAAACCCAACAAAATATTATTTATTTTTAATTTAATTTAAATGTATTTCTAGCTTTTAATATGCTGTTTAATGTATTTCTAATAATAATAATAATAATGCAATAATAATAAAGTAACATTGCAAAATAATATTTTGATATTTAATTTACCATTTCATTTAAGGCATATATATATATATATATATATATATATATAAAGGCATATATTAAAAATATTTAAAATGCATTAAATTAAAATGCATTAAATTAAATGTCAAATTAAAATTCAATTTACCTTTTCATTTAAGGCATTCTGAAATATTTGAGTAATATAGCAAAGTATTATTTATCATTTAATTTAATTTAAATATGTAACTCCGTAATATTTAGGAAACAATGCAAAATAATATTCATTTACTTAATAATTAAATAAACCAATATTATTTTGCATGTTACCTAAATATTAATAATTAAATATTTTTAAATTTGACATTTAATTTAATGCATTTTAATATTTGAATAATATAGCAAAGTAATAGTATTTATCATTCAGTTTAAATATGAAACTCCTTAATATTTAGGTAACATTGCAAAATAATAATTTCTTTCCTATTTATTTTTTAAAATGGCATAAAATAAATAAACAAATAATATCCGGAGGGTGCGTGTCAGTAGAAATGGCTACGCGTGTCAGTACTGACACGCGTGTCATAGGTTCGCCATCACTGGTATAGAGCAACAGCACCCCCTGGATTTGAGCCCAACCTTCCATGGCACCAAAAACAGCTGAAACAAACCACCTCCTGTTCTGTCTGTCTGTGTATTGTCTATACAAAGCAACTTTGAATGTTTGCCGAGCATATGTACTGTGATCCACCCCAAGTCCCCTTCAGGATGAGAAGGCGGAATATAAACAAAGTGTTGTTGTTATTGTTGTTGTTATATTATTATTACAAGAAATGGATTCCTGCTTAGAAAATATCTCAAGTCAAGCTAAAGAAGTCATTTACATTAGCATAACAAATGCCCAGTATAAGCTTCAATAACAACACCCTGCATGTTAAGTTCCTATCTTTTTCTTATGCTGTGAAATTCCCCCACCTTCCACTTCAGGTAAAGATAGCCAGCCATGCAAAGGGAAAGCACAGGATTGGCATCAGAAACAAGCATGCCCACAAGTTGTTGCACTCCAGGCCAGGAAAGCCCTCTGACTTTAAACATCACACAGCTGAGTAGAAATACAAGCAGTTTATTGAAGATATTTTTAAAGCAGTAGCAGTAAAAAGCACTCCATAAAATAGGTAAATCCAATTAGGTAGAAAGATAAGCAGGAACAAATAGTCCAGGAAATTAGTCCATCAGAGTTCATGAAAAACAAATACAGAAACTTCCAAGGTAAAACGCCAAATCATGAATCAAAAAAGGCACTTAACACATGAATCTGTCCAAGGCAAGGCTTCCAAGGACTAGGAAAGATGTATTGACTCAATTTCCAACATTGCTTTGTCTGACTACAGATTCTGTACTTGGCACTTTTATCCCCTAATCTGCCCATTGTCCCAAGTGGCCAGGAATAATAATAATAATAATAATAATAATAATAATAATAATAATACTTTATTTATACCCCGCCTCCATCTCCCCAAGGGACTCGGAGCGGCTTACATGAGGCCAAGCCCAACAACACATAATAAACAAGAAAGTAAAAAAACAAAAAATAAAAATACAGTTAAATAAATCACATATAAACATTAACATGCAAGAATTAAAAAACCTATGGCCGGACCATATGTAATAGTTAAAAATTAAAAAATAAACACTGGGCATGAGCAAGGTAGGATATATCTAATAGGGTTATAAAGAAGTGAGGGGAACGGATTTCGTTTCAGCCTTGACTCTGTTATCAATCTCTCTCAGCCTGGCAGAATGCCCGAGGTATTGGTTTGCTTACCTGTACCGAATAAAAGCATGCCTTCTATCTACTGGCTCATTAATTTCTGCAGCTGGCCCAGGTGCCGAGCTACTCTCAGGCTCAAAGTCCTGGGAATTCTCTGGTAGCAATTCAGGTCCTCTTCCAGGGACCATACCATCATCCCCAAACCCTTCAGGAATGTTCTTATCAGAAAAAACACTTTGAACAGGAATCCCATTGTCATTCTCTACATCTAGAGCAACCTCATCATCAGATATATCAGTGTTTCTCAACCTGAGGGTCGGGACCCCTGGGGGGGGCGTGAGGGGGTGTCAGGGAGGTCACCAAAGACCATCAGAAAACACAGTATTTTCTGTTAGTCATGGAGGTTCTGTGTGGGAAGTTTGGCCCAATTCTGTCATTGGTGGGGTCAGAATGCTCTTTGGTTATAGGTGAACTATATATCCCAGCAACAACAACTCCAAAATCTCAAGGTCTCTTTTCCCCAAACTCCATCAGTGTTCACATTTGGCTGTATTGAGTATTTATGCCAAGTTTGGTCCAGATCCATCATTGTTTGGGTCCACGGTGCTCTCGGGATGTAGGTGAACTATAACTCCCAACTCAAGGTCAGTGCCCACCAAACCCAATATTTTCTGGTAGTCTGTGTGCCAAATTTGGTTGCATTACATCATTGGTAAAGTTCAGAATACTCTTTGATTGTAGGTGAACACTAAATCCCAGCAACTACAACTCCCAAATGACAAAATCAATCCACCCCTAATCCCACCAGTATTCAAATCTCGGTGTATTGGGTATTTGCGCCATATTTGGTCCAGTGAACTAAAATACATCCTGCATATCAGATATCTACATGATGATTCATAACACTAGCAACATTACAGATATGAAGTAGCAACAAAAGTAATGTTGTGGTTGGGGGTCACCACAACATAAGGAATTGTATTAAGGGGTCGTGGCATTAGGAAGGTTGAGAAACACTGAGATATATGAACCTTATTGTCATTCCCAACATCCAGAGTACCCTGATCATTAGACACAATCACAGGCTGAACTCCAACAGACGTGTCAGTTAAAATGGGATCCTAACACACTAGAGTGAAAGGGCCCCAGGTGCCCCCACGTCACCTCACCTGTGTACTTCCAGGTGACATCCTCCAAGATCAGGCTGCTGTCCTCAGGCATGTGCTTCTTCAGCCAAGCCCAGCAATGGACCTGCTGGTCTGTGGGGGAAATCATGAAGAAGCTGCAAGGCAAGCAAGAGGAGACACAACTCATCGCAAGGCTTAGGAGACATGGGATGGCGGGAGAGGGAGATAGGACATTCAAGATAAGGTCAATAGAGAAGTTAAACCAAAACCAGTGAGAGAATTCCCAGCTTAATGAAGGGAGTAGAGGAGGCATGGGCAAACTCTGACCCTCCAGGTGTTTTGGAGGGTTAGGGCCCCAAAACCTCCAGGATCCTTTTATCCAATTGAACACTAGAGGCAAGGAGATCATTCAATAGGTTTATTTGATCAAAACACCCTGCTGGGTGAAGCAAAACAGAAAAACATTGAGGCGCACCTCAACATCTTGAGCATGTCAACAACAGGCTATTTTCCCCTATTCCTGCCTCATCTTTTCTTGGTTCCCTTCTGGTGCCAGCTCTTATCAGTATACTTCCGCTGCTTTTCCTCAGCTCCTGATTCTCCCTTCCTGCTTTTTCTCCCTGCTGCACCTACGTGTTACTAGGTATTTTGGGAGACATGGAAAGAGCGTCCTCGGAGACTCATGCTCAGAGGAAGAACTGTTCAAAGCTACAGACAATTAGGTCGCTGTTGCCCGTTTTTGGTCTAAAATTATTTAGCTGCTTGTGCTCCTTTTATTTTATCAGTTTTATACTTATTTATTTATGCAGGAGACATGGAAAGAGCCTCCTTGAAGACTGAGTCAAGACAGTTGGGTATTCCCTAGGCAACATTTCTTGTAAATGGCTAATCTTTCCAACCCAAAGGCATTGCTTTACAACATTCTATACAATGGGTTGTTGTAGGTTTTTCTGGGCTATATGGCCATGTTCTAGAGGCATTCTCTCCTGACGTTTCGCCTGCATCTATGGCAAGCATCCTCAGAGGTAGTGAGGTTTGTTGGAAGTAGGAAAAAAGGGGGTTATATATCTGTGGAATGACCAGGGTGGGACAAAGGACTCTTGTCTGCTGGAGCTAGGTGTGAATGTTTCAACTGACCACCTTGATTAGCATTTGATGGCTTGGCAGTGCCTGGGGGAATCTTTTGTTGAGAGGTGATTAGATGTGCCTGATTGTTTCCTCTCTGTTGTTTTGCTGTTGTAATTTTAGAGATTCTGGCCATGAAAGCCTTCGACAATACACAATGTTTTTGACACTATATATATGTATATATATGTAATACTTTTGACACAAATATATATATACACACACACACACATACACTAGCCGTCCCCTGCCATGCATTGCTGTGGCCCACTCTGGTGGTCATGGGGGTTCTATGTGGAAGGTTTGGCCCAATTCTATCGTTGGTGGGGTTCAGAATGCTCTGTGATTGTAGGTGAACTACAAATCCCAGCAACTACAACTCCCAAATGTCAAGATTCTATTTTCCCCAAACTCTACCAGTGTTCACATTTGGGCATATTGAGTATTCGTGTAGAGTTTGGTTCAGATCCATCATGCTGTGCTCTCTGGGTGTAGGTGAACAACAACTCCAAAACCAAAGGGCACTGCCCACCAAACCCTTCCAGTATTTTCTGTTGGCCATGGGAGAACTGTGTGCCGAGTTTGGTTCAATTCCCCAAGGTGAACTATAAATCCCAGCAACTACAACTCCCAAATGACAAAATAATTTTTTTGAGTGAAGGACATACATTGGGTTGTTAGGTGTCTTGTGTCCAAATTTGGTGTCAATTCGTCCAGTGGTTTTTGAGTTCTGTTAATCCCACAAACAAACATTACATTTTTATTTATATAGATATATATTAGACTTGGTTGATCCAAAAAATGGTGCAAAACTTGTTTTGGATGTAGGGGGCGCTGGTAGTTCGATTTGGAATTGAATTCCAAATTTTTTGGGGGGGAAAACAGAACTTTCAGAAATTTTTGAATCACTTTGTTAATGGCGGACACGATTGCACAATGCGTAATACGCAAGACTTGAAAGTATGGGATTTGTAGTATGGGAGTTGCAGAAAGTATGGGATTTGCAGGCAGGCAGACAACAGCCCTTCTCCCAGCCCTTCTTCTCTGCTTGCTTGCTTGCCCATTGTGCCCTTTTTCCAACCTCCCTTCAACACAACTTCCCTTCAACACAACCCTTTGTCTTTCTTTTTCCCTTCTCCCTTCCCTTCCTGGCTCCGAATGAGCCTCTGAGCCATGTGCTCCTCCAAAACTTCTCCCTTGATTGGCTGGGAGGGAAGCAAGGAGCCTCCCAGCATGCAAGCTGCTTGGCTCCCAGCAGGCTAGTAGAGGGCTGAAAATATGCAGAATCATTTCTGACTCACTTCCTGAGTTGTAACAAAAATGGTGGAAAAAGCTTCGGAAGTGCAAAGGGACTTCCGGTTTTTAAAAATGTTTCGAAATTGCTTCAAAAAGTTAAGTTTAATGAAATTATTATGAGTAACGAGTTATCCAACGCGGCTCTATCGATGCCATATCCATCTATCTTCTTTCTGTGTGTGTGTGTGTGTGTGTGTGTGTGTGTGTGTGTGTGTGTGTGTGTGTATATATATATATATATATATATATATATATAAATGCTCTGTGCATAATGAGTACCTTAAAAACAAAAGAACCAATGAACGAAATCACACCAAATTTGGCAACAAAACGTCTCACGACACAAGGAGTGACCATCACTCAAAAAATTATAATTTGTCATTTGGGAGATGTAGTTGCTGGGATTTATAGTTCACCTATAATCAAAGAGCATTCTGAACTCCACCAACGATGGAATTGAACCAAACTTGGCACACAGTTCTCCCACGACCAACAGAAAATACTGGAAGGGTTTGGTGGGCACTGACCTTGCGTTTGGGAGTTGTAGTTCACCTACATCTATCGAGAACTGTGGACTCAAACAAGAATAGATCTGGACCAAACTTGGCACAAATATTCCATATGCCCAAATATGAACACAGATAGAGTTTGGGGAAAATACACCTTGACATTTGCGAGTTGTAGTTACTGGAATTTCTAGTTCACCTACAATCAAGGAGCATTCTGAACCACACCGACAGAATTGGGGCAAACTTCCCACACAGAACACTCATGACCAACAGAAAATACTGTGTTTTCTGGTTGTTTTTGGTGACCCTTCTGATACCCCCTGTGCCCCCCCCCCCTTCCAGGTCTTGACTTTCCAGGTTGAGAAATGCTGTCTTAAGGCCATCCAGTCCAACTTCCTTCACCAGGGCAAGAAAACATAATCAAAGCCCTCCTGACAAAGGGCCATCCAGCCATTCACACACACATATATGTATATGACAGTGCAGTTTCAAAGATTTGAAAGGGACCCCTAAAGAAGGACAATGATATGTTGCATGTTCCATAGTGGACAAACCAGACAATCTCCACATCAACACTGACAAAGAAACAGCAAGAAATACTGTTTACCCACAAGCAGAAAGACATTACATAGATTAGAAACCAACACTTTCTCATTACTTTATTTTCCAGATCACCAGACTGGGCCACAGCAATGCGTGGCAGGGGACCGCTTATATATATATTAGGGCTGGGCGGTTTCGTTCGTTAATTTCGTAATTCGTTATTAATTCGTTATTTTTTTTGGATAACGAAGCGATATTGAACCATTCCGGAGCAACTAAAAATCGAAACGAATTTTTCAATTCGTTTCGTAATCGTTTAGAAATCGTTTCGTTATTATTTCCGCATGTCTGGTGCAAGTTTTATAGTTGTTGTTTGTTTTATCAATAAAAAAAATAATAATTATCACACCAACAGTCAACAACAGAGGGAGAGGGAAGCTTCAGAAGTTCCCCCTGTCCCATTTGGAGGTTTTTTTTAGCGTATTGCGCAGTCGCGTCCGCCATTAACGAATCAATTCGTAATTGTTTCGTAATTTCCAAAATTTCGAACTTTTTTAAAGAAAAATTTCGGAATTCTTTTAAAAATCGAAACGCAAAAACCCCCTAAAAACGAATCGAGTTTAGACACAAATTTTTCCGTGGTTGCCCAGCCCTAATATATATATATTATATATATACACACACACACACACACACACACACACAATGCTTTTGACACAAAATAAATAAATAAAGCAAGCATTTTGGACTTTCCCCTTGTCTCAACTTCTGTTTGAACTGGTAGTTTTCCATTCCAAGAGCTGGCCCAGAGATTGAAACAGGAACGACACATTAAAGGGCTGGCTGAAAAGGGACATGATATTTCTAAACTACAGAAGAATCTGGATAGCAAAATTTGCTAAACTTGGCCACGGTTGTCCATGCTCTGGTTACATCCCGTTTAGACTACTGCAACACTCTCTACGTGGGGTTGCCTTTGAAGACAGCTCGGAAGCTCCAACTAGTCCAACGCTCGGCAGCCATGATTTTAACAGGAGCGGAGCGCAGGGAGCATACAACCCCCCTGTTGCGCCAACTCCACTGGCTACCGATCTGCTACCGGGCTGAATTCAAAGTGCTGGCGTTGGCCTTTAAAGCCCTAAACGGTTCCAGCCCAAGCTACCTATCTGACCGCATCTCTGCCTATGAACCCACCAGGACTTTGAGATCTTCCGGGGAGACCCTGCTCTCGATCCCGCCTGCTTCTCAAGCTCGGCTGGCGGGGACGAGAGATAGGGCCTTCTCGGTGGTGGCTCCTCGGCTGTGGAACGCCCTTCCTACGGACATTAGACTAGCACCATCTCTAATGGTATTCCGCAAAAAGGTGAAGACCTGGATGTTTGTGCAGGCGTTTGAGTAATTTAGTGCAATCTGGTAATGGAACATAGGAATGGAACAATGGACGACGAACCTGGACTACGCTTGGATGATGAGAAGATTGGGTACGGTTGTTTTTTGTAATAATTGTGCATTGTAATTGCTTATTGGTAATTTATGGATAATGTGTTAAGTCAATTGTTATATGTTGTATGGAACCACTGCTGTTTCTACTGTTTTTACTGTTTGTGAACCGCTGTGAGTCGCCTTCGGGCTTGAGATACAGCGGTATAGAAGCAAAGTAAATAAATAAATAATAAATAAATAAACGGGAGGCAGACCCTTCCCCTTCCTGATTCTGGGTGGATCTGTTCCTCTCCTGCCTCTCCTTCCAGGCCCAAAAGCAGCAAACCCAGTGTTGCCCCCTCACCTGCGCTTATTGACACGGACGATGCTGCAGTCGTTCTCGTACCCGCCGTTGTGGTTGAGCATCCCTGTGTGCACGATGTGTCCGACAGGGACGTCCAGGTCATTGGAGAAGAGGTACTGCAGGACGTCCAGGGCTTGCTCTCCTGTGGACTGAATGAAGGGTTGGGGGAAGAGGATCAGATCCAGGATCAGGCACCAGCAGGAGAGCCTGCAATGAAGGCTTGCCATCACTAACATGGAAAGGGCAAGAGCAAGGCATGGGCCAATTCCCCTACGCCCAAAGAGCACTGTGAATGCAAACAATGATGGATCTGCACCAAATTTGGCACCATAGTGGGAGTTGTAGTTCATCCTGCAGCCAAAGAGCACACTGAACCCCACCGATGATGCATCGAGAGCAAACTTGCCCAACATGACAAACTTTAAGTATCGATGGAGTTTCAGGAGCTTAACCTGGCATGATATTTATTTACGACATTTATATGCCACCCTTCTCACCCCGAAGGGGACTCAGTGCGGCTTACAATGTCAGGATTAATTTAGATATATGTGTGTTTTAAATGTGTTTCTATGTAATTCTAAGATGGAGTCTACTGTGTGTTAGAAATGCTATGCAGAATGTCCATGAGGCTGTGATTAAGTAACCTTGGGAGAAATGAGATAATGTATGCTCTAGCTGGGAACAGAAGGGAGTCACCCGTCTCAGTCAGAGTGAAGAGAGATAAGCAGATGTGCAGAGAGACTTTCGATTTTCCACCAGGTTCCTGTTTGTAGCTCGCTGTGTTAAGACGTGTGTTAGATGTACTTAGTAAAACTTAGTTTCTTTTGTAACTGAAAGACTTCAGAGTCCTTATTTCGCATCACAGTGTCTGCTGATCTAGCAGTCCTTCTGCTGTGCACCCCCCAAACTCTGACATACAATATATGTATGTAGCTTGGGTGTGACCCTGGACTCATCGTTGAGCCTGGATCCCCAGGTTTCAGCGGTGACCAGGGGAGCATTTGCACAGCTTCGGCTCGTGCGCCAGCTGCGCCCGTATCTTGGGAAGTCTGACTTGGCCACGGTGGTACACGCTTTGGTCACATCCCGCCTCGACTACTGCAACGCTCTCTACGTGGGGCTGCCCTTGAAGACGGCCCGGAAGCTCCAGCTAGTCCAGCGCGCGGCAGCCATGTTGTTAACCGGAGCGGGACGCAGGGAGCACACAACGCCCCTGCTGTCCCAGCTCCACTGGCTGCCGATTTGCTACCGGGCCCAATTTAAGGTGCTGGTGTTATCCTACAAAGCCCTAAACGGTTCCGGCCCAAAATACCTTGCGAACCGCATCTCGGCCTACGAGCCCACGAGGACCTTGAGATCATCTGGGGAGGCCCTTCTCTCGGTCCCGCCTGCCTCACAGGCACGCCTGGCGGGGACGAGAGAGCGGGCCTTCTCGGTGGTGGCCCCTCGGCTATGGAACTCCCTCCCTGCTGAAATCAGACAGGCGCCTTCCCTCATGGCCTTTCGCAAGGGCCTGAAAACCTGGCTCTTCGAAAAGGCCTTCAACTAAGTGCTACGTTGTTGGAATGACCACCGGAATGTACTATGACTATGAGATTGATTATGACTCCAAACTAGACGAATGCGGATTTTTAGTTTAATTCGTTGTTGTATTGGTCTTGATTTATTGTAAACTGTTGTCTTTTTCTATGTTCTGTACACCGCCACGAGTCGCCCTCGGGCTGAGAGTGGCGGTTAACAAGTGCAAATAATAAATAAATAAATAATAAATATATATAGATAGACAGACAGATAGTAGGCTTGGGTAACCACGGAAAAATTTGGTTCTAAACTCGTTTTGTTTTTAGGGGGCCCTTGCATTTCGTTTTTTTTAATAATTCCGAAATTTTCCTTTTAAATATTTCAAAATATACGAAATTTCGTAAAATTACGAATCGATTCGTTAATGACGGACGCGATTGCGCAATATGCTAAAAAAACCTCCAAATGGGACAGGGGGAACTTCTGAAGCTTCCCTCTCCCTCTGTTGTTGACCGTTGGTGTGATAAAACAAACAACAACTATAAAACTTGCACCAGACATGCGAAAATAATTACGAAATAATTACAAATTAATTACGAAATAATTTTGAAATAATTATTTCGAATCTTAATTACTCCTCACAGCTATTCCTGCATGGCTCAATATTGGATCGTAAGCTAATTTAAATACGAATTAATAATGAATTACAAAATTAACGAACGAAACCGCCCAAGCCTAATAGATAGATAGATATACACACATACATACAATATATTATATTATTATCATAGTACACTATCAGTATTAAATATTACTACATTGTACTATACCATTATATTGTAAGATTATTAGTAATATTACACGTAATATAAATATATAATTACAATATATTATTATTAGTATTGGTATTATATTGCATTACATTATAATATTATAAATATTATATGTATATACAGTATAGTATATTATATTATCTTATATTACATTATTAGCGTAGCACAGGAGACAAGGTGGATTATATATGTGTGTTTGCGTTTATATATGTGGGAGCTTATACATGATGGGACATGATGGGAGTTGTAGTTCACCCACAACCTTATTACTATTAGTATTATATTGCATTACATTACAATATTATAAATATTATATGTATATACAGTATATTATATTACATTATATTATATTATTAGCATAGCACAGGAGACAAGGTGGGTTATATATGTGTGTTTGTGTTTATATATGTGGGAGTTTATACATGATGGGACATGATGGGAGTTGTAGTTCACCCACAACCTTATGCATTTTGTAAAATAAAAAAATGACTTCTACTAATAACCCAGGCAACGCTGGGGACCTAAGCTAGTAATAATAATAATAATAATAATAATAATAATAATAATAATAATAATAATAATAATAATGTACCTGCTCCAACTTACAAACAAATTCAACTTAAGAACAAACCTACAGAACCCATCTTGTTCCTAACTTGGGAACTGCCTGTAATCCTAAGATTCTATGGTCGTCTGTCAGGAGGGATTGGATTGTGCCTACCCCAATGGCAGAAGGGGGTTGGACTGGATGGCCCTTGGAGTTCCTCCCAACTCTAGGATGCTGTCATGCTTACGCTTATTTCGAACTTGGTGAAGGAGGACATGTCGATGACGCAGACGGCCTCCTTGCAGCACTTGACCTCTTCCCCCACAATGTCAAACCAGTCCGGCTTGTAGAAGGTCTTGCTGGCGTCCAGGGCCAGGAGATCTAAAGCGGAGGGAAGGACAAGCCTTGAGGAAGGGGAGGGGTGGCCGCTCAGCTTTCTCAGCCCACAGGAAATCCCATCTCACCTCTCCCGGGCGGCACAAAGTACTTTGCCCTCTCGAAGCCGTGCTTCTCCATCCATCGGGCTCCCTGGGCGTCCAGGCGGTCGTAGAGGGGCGAAGTGCGCAGCTGCCTCCCGGTCTGGAAGTCCCACCGGGGCACCTTGAGGTCATAGATCAGGGCTGGAGGGGAAAAGCATCCAAGGAAGGACATTTTCAGAACACTTTGCACATCTCGGCCTCTGTTGGGGTTCAGCCTGAGTTTGAACTTGAACCTGATTCTCTGTTTGTTCCTCCTGATGCTAATGAAATATATTTACTGATGCTAATGAAAATGTACCTCTTGATGCCAATGCTCCTGAAATTAGTGAGGAAGAAACTTCTGTAGGTTTGGAAAATGCCAATGTTCCTGAAATTAGTGAGGAAGGAACTTCTGTAGATTTGGAAAATGAAAGTACCAGTGTTCATGAGAATGTTTCAGAGGGAAGCCATGACCTTTCACTCCCTTCTGCACCTGGTAACTTTAATGAGAACAGAAGGGGCCAGATTTGGCAAGACAGAAGTAAATCACTCAGCTTGCGAAGGTCTTCCCGATTAAAAGAAATACAAACAACGGCTTCAAAGCAGAGGGGCGGTTCACGGAACCAATTCTTTGGCTTTAAGTGCCTTCCGCCGGGCTGACTTTCTCAGTTCAGGCATCGTTTCAGATTGATGAAGACCTTGGCAGTTCTCCCGGTTTCCCTGGCCATGGTCTTGAAAGATTTCTAGGATATCAAGCACGGTTAGTGAATTGCTAACAGGTTCCAGTATTTTACAGTGTGGCTTTGGGTTTTGCTTTGTCCATTTAAATTCATGTTTGCTGATTTTGCTCTGGCTTTTGACTTGCATTTTTCCTTTATTTTGTAACCATTTTTCTTCAATAAAAAATGATTGTTTTTCACAGTCAAGTCTGGTGGATGGTTATCTTAGGGCCTCGTTCCCTGCTCTGGATTGCAACAGCCTCTTACTTTGGTCTATGCCCGTGATGGTGAACCTATGACATGCGTGTCAGCACTGACACGCATGGCTATTTTTGATCACACGCGGCCACATGCATACAGAGAAGTACACCTTATAAGAGCCAATCTAATTCCATCCTTAAATTTGTAAAAGGCTCTACAAATTTAACATCTGCACGTTTGAGCATTGTTCACTCCATAACTCAGCATGGAATATACATTTTTCTTACTTAAACTATAAATATTGCAAAATTATGTTGTTGTTTTTCTCGAAGTTGACACCCCACCCAAGTTATGCTCAGGTTTTTGGCAAATTTTGACACACCAAGCTCAAAACTTCAATTAGTCCAACGGGCGGCGGCTAGATTACTCACCGGAGCGTCATACAGGGAGCATACCACCCCCCTGCTATGTCAGCTCCACTGGCTGCCGATCCAGTTCCGAGCACAATTCAAAGTGCTGGTTTTGACCTACAAAACCCTTTATGGCTCCGGCCCAGCGTACCTGTCCGAACGTATCTCCTTCTACGTCCCACCTCGGAGTTTAAGATCTGCTGAGGGGGCCCTGCTCTCGGCCCCACCTTTATCACAAGCGAGACTGGTGGGGACGAGGGACAGGGCCTTCTCGGTGGTGGCCCCTCGCCTGTGGAATGTGCTCCCCGGGGAAATTAGGACATCAACATCCCTCCTCTCCTTCAGAAGGAAGCTAAAGACCTGGATGTGGGACCAGGCCTTCGGGTAAGCTGGCAGATGGACAAAGACAACCAATAATGACCAGAGTAGGAAAGGACAATGACGATGCTAAATGGTTTACGGACTTGGATTTGGTGAACACTGACCACAAGATGTTTTTATTGATGCTAGTATACTGTTGATTGTTTTAATTAGATTACTGCAACACACTCTATGTGGGGTTGCCTTTGAAGACTGCTCGGAAACTCCATCTAGTCCAGCGGGAGGCAGCCAGACTACTCACCGGGGCGTCATACAGGGAGCATACCACCCCCTGTTGTGTCAGCTCCACTGGCTGCCGATCCAGTTCCGAGCACAATTCAAGGTGCTGGTTTTGACCTACAAAACCCTATACGGTTCCGGCCCAGTGTATCTGTCCGAATGGATCTCCCTCTACATCCCACCCCGGAGCCTAAGATCTTCTGGGGAGGTCCTGCTCTCGACCCCGCCTCTATCACAAGTGAGATTGGCGGGGACGAGGAGCAGGGCCTTCTCGGTGGTGGCCCCCCGCCTGTGGAATTCACTCCCCGGGGAAATTAGATCTGCAACATCGCTCCTTTCTTTTAGGAAAAAACTAAAAACATGGATCTGGGACCAGGCATTTGGACAAGCGGGCAGATAAAGAAAGAACTTCGATGATGACTAGGAAATGATTAACGGATTGGATCTATGGAACTCTGGAAAACGAAACGCTGATTATAAGAATGACTTTTATATGATGTTTTATATGATGTGTTATGTACTGGTTGTTGACTGTTTTAATTGTGATAACTGTTTTAATTACGTTTTTGTATATTATGTGTAATTTGGATAGGCATCGAATTCTGCCTTTTCTGTAAGCCGCCCTGAGTCCCCCTTCGGGGGTTGAGAAGGGCGGGGTAAAAGTACCAGAAAAAATAAATAAATAAATAAATAAATAAATAAAAAGGTTGCCCATCACTGGTCTATGCCAAGCCTGGGTAAGCTTCAGCCCTTTGGAATGGGCCGCCCTCTTCCCCCACAAGCCGATCCCGACTTACGCATGACCTCCATGACGCGATGGCGGAGGAAGGTGCGGCTGCCCTGGAGGGCACCAAAGCGCTTGAGGTCCAAGGGCCAGACGTTATCCGAAGGATAGCCATGGACCATCCATTCGGCCAGGAACCTGCCCACCGAGGAAGACAGAAAAGGGACGGGAGATCAAAGGGTGCCAACACGGATTGCATGGAGGGCGAGAGAGACACGGACAGAAAGACAGAGAGGTGAGTAAGCCAACAAGTATAGAAAAACAAGTATAAGCCTAGTTTTTCAGCCCTTTTTTGAGGCTGAAAACGTCCCCCTCGGCTTATACTCGAGTCAGTTCTTTATTATTTTACGCTGTTGTTGTTGTAATAATAACAATAGAGTAAAATAATAGAAATGTATTAATAACAATAATAAAGTAAAATAATAAATGTAATAATAGAGTAAAATGATAAATGTAATAATTGTTGTTGTTCATTCGTTCAGTCGTCTCCGACTCTTCGTGACCTCATGGACCAGCCCACGCCAGAGCTCCCTGTCGGCCGTTACCACCCCCAGCTCCTCAAGGTCAGTCCAGTCACTTCAAGGATGCCATCCATCCATCTTGCCCTTGGTCGGCCCCTCTTCCTTTTGCCTTCCACTTTCCCCAGCATAATTGTCTTCTCTAGGCTTTCCTGTCTCCGCATGATGTGGCCAAAGTACTTCAACTTTGTCTCTAGTATCTTTCCCTCCAGTGAGCAGTCGGGCTTTATTTCCTGGAGGATGGACTGGTTGGATCTTCTCGCAGTCCAAGGCACTCTCAGCACTTTCCTCCAACACCACAGCTCAAAAGCATCTCTCTTCTTTCGCTCAGCCTTCCCTAAGGTCCAGCTCTCACATCCGTAGGTGACTACAGGGAAGACCATGGCTTTGACTAGGCGGATCTTTGTTGCCAGTCTGATGTCTCTACTCTTTACTATTTTATCGAGACTGGACATTGCTCTCCTCCCAAGAAGTAAGCGTCTTCTGATTTCCTGGCTACAGTCTGCCTCTGCAGTAATCTTTGCACCTAGAAATACAAAGTCTGTCACGGCCTCCACGGTTTCTCCCTCTATTTTCCAGTTGTCAATCATTCTTGTTGCCATAATCTTGGTTTTTTTGACGTTTAGCTGCAACCCAGCCTTTGCGCTTTCTTCTTTCACCTTGATTAGAAGGCTCCTCAGCTCCTCCTCGCTTTCGGCCATCAGTGGTGTCATCTGCATATCTGAGGTTGTTAATGTTTCTTCCAGCAATTTTCACCCCAGCCTTGCATTCATCAAGCCCCGCACATCGCATGATGTGTTCTGCATACAAGTTAAAAAGGTTGGGTGAGAGTATGCAGCCTTGCCGTACGCCTTTCCCAATCTTGAACCAGTCTGTTGTTCCGTGGTCAGTTCTGACTGTTGCTCCTTGGTCCTTGTACAGATTCCTCAGGAGAGAGGGAAGGGGGCTTGGGATGCCCATCCCACTAAGAACTTGCCACAATTTATTATGATCCACACAGTCAAAGGCTTTAGAATAGTCAATGAAGCAGAAGTAGATGTTTTTCTGAAACTCCCTGCCTTTCTCCATTATCCAGCGGATATTGGCAATCTGGTCTCTCGTTCCTCTGCCTTTTCTACACCCAGCTTGAACATCTGGCAACTCTCGCTCCATGTATTGCTGGAGTCTTCCTTGCAGGATCTTGAGCATTACCTTACTGGCATGAGAAATAAGGGCCACTGTACGGAAGTTTGAGCAGTCTTTCGCATTTCCTTTTTTTGGTAATGTAATAATACTAGAGCAAAATAATACATGTAATAATAATAATAGAGTAAAATAATGGAAATGTAATAACAATAATAGAGTAAAATAACAGAAATGTAATAACAATAATAAAGTAAAGTAATAAATGTAACAATAGAGTAAAATGATAAATGTAATCATAATAATAGAGTAAAATAATGGAAATGTATTAATAACAATAATAAAGTAAAATAATAAATGTAATAATAGAGTAAAATGATAAATGTAATAATACTAGAGCAAAATAATACATGTAATAATAATAATGGAATAAAATAATGGAAATGTAATAATAACAATAATAGAGTAAAATAATAAATGTAATAATAATATAGTAAATTAATACATGTAATAATAATAATAGAGTAAAATAATAGAAATGTATTAATAACAATAATAAAGTAAAATAATAAATGTAATAATAGAGTAAAATGATAAATGTAATAATACTAGAGCAAAATAATACATGTAATAATAATAATAGAGTAAAATAATGGAAATGTAATAATAATAAAGTAAAGTAATAAATGTAACAATAGAGTAAAATGATAAATGTAATCATAATAATAGAGTAAAATAATGGAAATGTATTAATAACAATAATAAAGTAAAATAATAAATGTAATAATAGAGTAAAATGATAAATGTAATAATACTAGAGCAAAATAATACATGTAATAATAATAATGGAATAAAATAATGGAAATGTAATAATAACAATAATAGAGTAAAATAATAAATGTAATAATAATATAGTAAATTAATACATGTAATAATAATAATAGAGTAAAATAATAGAAATGTATTAATAACAATAATAAAGTAAAATAATAAATGTAATAATAGAGTAAAATGATAAATGTAATAATACTAGAGCAAAATAATACATGTAATAATAATAATAGAGTAAAATAATGGAAATGTAATAACAATAATAAAGTAAAGTAATAAATGTAACAATAGAGTAAAATGATAAATGTAATCATAATAATAGAGTAAAATAATGGAAATGTATTAATAACAATAATAAAGTAAAATAATAAATGTAATAATAGAGTAAAATGATAAATGTAATAATACTAGAGCAAAATAATACATGTAATAATAATAATGGAATAAAATAATGGAAATGTAATAATAACAATAATAGAGTAAAATAATAAATGTAATAATAATATAGTAAATTAATACATGTAATAATAATAATAGAGTAAAATAATAGAAATGTATTAATAACAATAATAAAGTAAAATAATAAATGTAATAATAGAGTAAAATGATAAATGTAATAATACTAGAGCAAAATAATACATGTAATAATAATAATAGAGTAAAATAATGGAAATGTAATAATAATAAAGTAAAGTAATAAATGTAACAATAGAGTAAAATGATAAATGTAATCATAATAATAGAGTAAAATAATGGAAATGTATTAATAACAATAATAAAGTAAAATAATAAATGTAATAATAGAGTAAAATGATAAATGTAATAATACTAGAGCAAAATAATACATGTAATAATAATAATGGAATAAAATAATGGAAATGTAATAATAACAATAATAGAGTAAAATAATAAATGTAATAATAATATAGTAAATTAATACATGTAATAATAATAATAGAGTAAAATAACAGAAATGTAATTAACAATAATAAAGTAACGTAATAAATGTAATAATAGAGTAAAATGATAAATGTAATAATAATAACAGTAAAACAATGGAAATGTAATAATAACAATAATTAAGTAAATAATAAATGTAATAATGGAGTAAAATGATAAATGAAATAATAATAGAGTAAAATAATACATGTAATAATAATAACAGACTAAAACAATGGAAATGTAATAATAACAATAACAAGGTAAAATAATAATAAATTAATTAATAAATAAAATGTGATGATGTATTTTACTGTATTTTATGTTTCAATGTATAATGATGATGCACTGTACTGTTTTATATTACTGTATATGAATACATGTTGTAAACTGGCCTGAGTCCCTCTTCTGAGGTTGAGAAGACCGGTACATAAAACCTCTAAATAAATAAATATAAATAAATAATAAATGGAATAATAGAGTAAAATAATACATGTAATAATAATAATAGAGTAAAATAAAATAAAATAATACATGTACACTCAATTCATTTGTGACACAATAAATAAAAAATGAAGTGCCACTACACACTTCTTCCCCTGTGTTTCCTGTTTAAAATAAATAAACACTTGTCTTAAATAAAGAAATAAATGGGAACCCCCAGCCATGGCGGCTGCCATTGGGCGCGTGGGGAGGCCACTTACTTGCCTGCTCCTCCGCCAAAGGACGTCCCGGCCGAGTTCATGCCCGCCAGGACGAAGTAGCCCTGCACGTTGGGCGACTCCCCCATGATGCACCGCATGTCCGGCGTGAAGGACTCTGGGCAATTCACCAGCTGCACGATCTCCAGGGCTTCCAGGCCTGGCATCCGCCGCAGAAGGGCGCTCAGAAGGGGCTCTGCAAAACCAAAGCAAGCGAGAGCAAAACAACTCCCGTGTTTCTATAGACTTGAGTCGGGGGAGGCCTTGCAAAACTATGACTTCCCTGATTCCATTGCATTGGTTTGCAGGTTGGGGAGGCCTTGCAAAACTACAACTCCCATGTTTCTATAGCACTGAGTTTGGGGAGGCCTGGCAAAACGACTTCCATGATTCTATAGCATTGAGTTTGGTGAGGACTTGCAAAAACTACAACTCCCATGTTTCTATAGCACTGAGTTTGGGGAAGGCCTTACAAAAACTACAACTCCCATGTTTCTATAGCACTGAGTTTGGGGAGGCCTGGCAAAATGACTTCCATGATTCTATAGCATTGAGTTTGGGGAGGCCTTGCAAAAACTACAACTCCCATGTTTCCATAGCACTGAGTTTAGGGGGCTTGGCAAAACAACTTCCATGATTCTATAGCATTGAGTTTGGAGAGGCCTTGCAAAAACTACAACTCCCATGTTTCTATAGCATTGAGTTTGGGGAGGCCTTCCAAAACTAGAACTCCCATGATTCTATAGCACTGAGTTTGGAGAGGCCTGGCAAAACGACTTCCATGATTCTATAGCATTGACTTTGGGGAGGCCTTGCAAAACTACAACTCCCATGCTTCTATAGCATTAAGTTTGGGGAGGCCTTGCAAAACTACAACTCCCACGATTCTATAGCACTGAGTTTGGGGAGGCCTGGCAAAACTACAACTCCCATGCTTCTATAGCACTGAGTTTGGGGAGGCCTTGCAAAACTACAACTCCCATGCTTCTATAGCACTGAGTTTGGGGAGGCCTTGCAAAACTACAACTCCCACGATTCTATAGCACTGAGTTTGGGGAGGCCTTGCAAAACTACAACTCCCATGATTCTATAGCACTGAGTTTGGAGAGGCCTGGCAAAACGACTTCCATGATTCTATAGCATTGACTTTGGGGAGGCCTTGCAAAACTACAACTCCCATGCTTCTATAGCATTGAGTTTGGGGAGGCCTTGCAAAACTACAACTCCCACGATTCTATAGCACTGAGTTTGGGGAGGCCTGGCAAAACTACAACTCCCATGCTTCTATAGCACTGAGTTTGGGGAGGCCTTGCAAAACTACAACTCCCACGATTCTATAGCACTGAGTTTGGGGAGGCCTTGCAAAACTACAACTCCCACGATTCTATAGCACTGAGTTTGGGGAGGCCTTGCAAAACTACAACTCCCATGCTTCTATAGCATTGAGTTTGGGGAGGCCTTGCAAAACTACAACTCCCACGATTCTATAGCACTGAGTTTGGGGAGGCCTGGCAAAACTACAACTCCCATGCTTCTATAGCACTGAGTTTGGGGAGGCCTTGCAAAACTACAACTCCCACGATTCTATAGCACTGAGTTTGGGGAGGCCTGGCAAAGCTACAACTCCCATGCTTCTATAGCACTGAGTTTGGGGAGGCCTTGCAAAACTACAACTCCCACGATTCTATAGCACTGAGTTTGGGGAGGCCTTGCAAAACTACAACTCCCATGCTTCTATAGCACTGAGTTTGGGGAGGCCTTGCAAAACTACAACTCCCACGATTCTATAGCACTGAGTTTGGGGAGGCCTTGCAAAACTACAACTCCCATGCTTCTATAGCATTGAGTTTGGGGAGGCCTTGCAAAACTACAACTCCCACGATTCTATAGCACTGAGTTTGGGGAGGCCTTGCAAAACTACAACTCCCATGCTTCTATAGCATTGAGTTTGGGGAGGCCTTGCAAAACTACAACTCCCATGTTTCTATAGCACTGAGTTTGGGGAGGCCTGGCAAAATGACTTCCATGATTCTATAGCATTGAGTTTGGGGAGGCCTTGCAAAACTACAACTCTCATGTTTCTTTACAGAAGCTGTATTTATCCGCCATCGACTCAAGCGGCCTGCAGGAAATTGCTTTCCCGAAATGAAGAGAGATCCTTGCAAGTGTTAATAATGTAAATACAGGCAATGCGCATCTGAACATACCTTGCAATGGTCAATTTAAGTAATACGCTACGATGTGAGGACTATGTGAGCAGGGAAACGACACCACTCAGAATCCCTCCACAAATTATGGCATGCTTTCTTAACGCCAACATTCAGGCATCTCTCATAAGAGGGGACTATTGTGAGGATGGGGGCAACCTACCAAAGTGATCCCAATCCTCCTGCAGGGTCTGTATCTCCAGCTGGTTCCGTCCCTCGGTGAAAATGGGCTTGGGGTTCTTCTCGAAGCCGCCCGAGAGGATGCCGCCCTGCCAGCCGCGGATGTAGATCCTCCCGTCGGGGTCCACGATGGCTGCGGAGGCAAAGCGGGAGAAGGGTTGGCGAGGGCAGAGATGGTTGGCCACCTCTTTCAAGTGCCACAGAAGAAGCCCCACTTCCTTCAGGGTTTTGGGAAGAGGTCCAGAAGCAAAGCAGGGCTGATCTTCCACCTTGGCTCCTCTGCACGAGCACTGTCTCTCCTTCTATGATAGTGTTTCTCAACCTGAGGGTCAGGACCCCTGGGGGGCTCGTGAGGGGGGTAGTGATTGGAGGGGTCGCCAAAGACCATCAGAAAACACAGTATTTTCTGTTGGTCATGGGGGTTCCATGTGGGAAGTTTGAGCCAATTCTGTAGAAACTTTTGTGTCCAAAACAGAGCTCAAACTCTGAGCAACTGGAGTTTATTAATCTGTTCGCAGTCGTGCACCTTTTTACCACTAAGCCAATGGCATCTTTGGAAAGTAGTAACGTTTTTGACTCATTTTTAAATGGAATTTAATTGTGTCATTGGACCATAGTAAAGTTTTTGACTCATTATTAAATGGAATTTTAAAATAATTTTAATGGAATTTTTAAATGGAATTTAATTGTGTCTTTGGACCGTAGTAAAGTTTTTGACTCATTATTAAATGGATTTTTTAAAAAAATTAATGGCATTTTTAAATGGAATTTAATTCTGTCTTTGGACCGTAGTAAAGTTTTTTTACTCATTATTAAAGGAATTAAAAAATGGAATTTTTAAATGGAATTTAATTGCGTCTTTGGACCGTAGTTAAGTTTTTGACTCATTATTAAATGGATTTTTTWAAAAAAATTAATGGAATTTTTAAATGGAATTTAATTGTGTCTTTGAACAAGTTTTTGACTCATTATTAAATGGAATTCTAAAAAATGGAATTTTTAAATGRAATTTAATTGTGTCTTTGGACCGTAGTAAAGTTTTTGACTCATTATTAAATGGAATTTTTAAAAAATTTAATGGAATTTTTAAATGGAATTTAATTCTGTCTTTGGACCRTAGTAAAAAAATTTGACTCATTATTAAAGGAATTAAAAATGGAATTTTTAAATGGAATTTAATTGCGTCTTTGGACCGTAGTAAAATTTTTGACTCATTATTAAATGGATTTTTTTAAAAAAAAATTAATGGAATTTTTAAATGGAATTTAATTGTGTCTTTGGACCGTAGTAAAGTTTTTTTTTTACTCATTTTTAAATGGAATTTTAAAAAATTATGGAATTTTAAAATGGAATTTAATTGTGTCTTTGGACCGTAGTAAAGTTTTTGATTCATTTTTAAATAGATTTTTTTAAAAAAATTAAATGGAATTTTAAATGGAATTTAATCGTGTCTTTGGACAAGTTTTTGACTCATTTTTAAATGGAATTGAAAAAAATTAATGGAATTTTTAAATGGAATTCAATTGTGTCTTTGGACCGTAGTAAAGTTTTTGACTCATTTTTAAATGGAATTGAAAAAAAATTAATGGAATTTTTAAATGGAATTTAATTGTGTCTTTGGACAAGTTTTTGACTCATTTTTAAATAGAATTGAAAAAAATTAATGGAATTTTTAAATGGAATTTAATTGTGTCTTTGGACAAGTTTTGACTCATTTTTAAATAGAATTGAAAAAAATTAATGGAATTTTAAAATGGAATTTAATTGTGTCTTTGGACAAGTTTTTGACTCATTATTAAATGGAATTGAAAAAAAATTAATGGAATTTTTAAATGGAATTTAATTGTGTCTTTGGACAAGTTTTTGACTCATTATTAAATGGAATTCTAAAAAATGGAATTTTAAAATGGAATTTAATTGCGTCTTTGAACCATAGTAAAGTTTTTTTTTACTCATTATTAAATGGAATTGAAAAAAAATTAATGGAATTTTTCAATGGAATTGTGTCTTTGGACCATAGTAAAGTTTTTGACTCATTATTAAATGGAATTAAAAAAAATTAATGGAATTTTTAAATGGAATTTAATTGTGTCTTTGGACAAGTTTTCGACTCATTATTAAATGGAATTCTAAAAAATGGAATTTTAAAATGGAATTTAATTGTGTCTTTGGACCATAGTAAAAAAAATTGACTCATTATTAAATGGAATTTTTTAAAAATGGAATTTTTAAATGGAATTTAATTGTGTCTTTGGACCATAGTAAAGTTTTTGACTCATTTTTAAATAGAATTAAAAAAAAATTAAATGGAATTTTAAAATGGAATTTAATTGTGTCTTTGTAATGTTTATGACTCATTATTAAATGGATTTTTTTAAAAAAAATAGTGGAATTTTTAAATGGGATTTAATTCTGTCTTTGGACCATAGTAAAGTTTTTGACTCATTCTTAAATGAAATAAAAAAATTAATGGAATTTTTAAATGGAATTTAATTGTGTCTTTGGACTGTAAGTAAAGTTTTTGACTCATTTTAAAATGGAATTTTAAAAAATGGAATTTTAAAATGGAATTTAACTGTGTCTTTGGACCGTAGTAAAGTTTTTGACTCATTATTAAATGGAATTTTAAAAAAGTAATAGAATTTTAAAATGGAATTTAATTGTGTCTGTGGACCGTAGTAAAGTTTTTTTGACTCATTTTTAAATAGATTTTTTTTTAAAAAAAATAAATGGAATTTTAAAATGGAATTTAATAGTATCTTTGGACCGTAGTAAAGTTTTTGACTCATTATTAAACGGAATTTTAAAAATAATTTTAATAGAATTTTTAAGAGGCTCTGGAAATGTTTGAAGTGCAAGGAGGAGGAAGAGAGAGGGAAAAGGAAGGCTTCTTACTTGGTGTGCTGCTGTCCAGCGGGGTCTTCAAGGGTCGCGTGAGGAGGTAGAAGTGCTCGCAGGCGTGCAGCGGGATGGTGACCGGTCCCTCGTTGGAAAGGCCCAGCTCATAAGCCCACTGGAAGCAAAGCAAATTAGGAAGGTCAGTGTGGGAACTCCAACTCCCACAATTCCTAGCAGCCGGTAAACTGTTAAGCAGGCTGTTCGGGATTCCTCATGTTCAGAGGAGGAAGGGGAGCAGGGAAGTGCTCAGGAATTGGGGGGAGAAGAAGAATCAGACGATGAAAGTGCCCACATTTCTGGAGAGATGAAAAGAGACAGAGCACAGACGGCGTTCAGCTAGAATAGCTGCTAGAAACGCTGAGCTAATTGGGAGACACCCTACCACCTCAGGAAGGTCAGTGCCCCCTAAGCAGTAGGTGGATTTCACCCTGACACAGCTGACCACTTAAACCAGGCATGGGCAAACTTAGGCCCTCCCTCCAGGTGTTTTGGACTCCTACTCCCACAATTCCTAGCAGCTGGTAAACTGTTAAGCAGGCTGTTCGGGATTCCTCATTTTCAGAGGAGGAAGGGGAGCAGGGAAGTGCTCAGGAATTGGAGGAAGAAGAAGAATCAGATGATGAGGGTTTGAAAGTGCCCACAATTCTGGAGAGATGAAAGGAGACAGAGCAGAGATGGCGGACAGCTAGAATAGCTGCTAAAAATGCGGAGCTAATTGGGAGACACCCTACCATCTCCAGCGTGGGGCATTCAGGGCTATAAATCAGAAGCAGGAGCAGTCAGCTTTCGCTGGAAACAATGACCCTGATACTGATGCTTTTACTCCAACGGAATCTACTAAGGACTTAGTTCATAGTTGTTGTGGCTCAGTTTGAGCCTGAGCTTTCTGAGCTGAGCTTTCTGAGCCTGAGTTTCCTCAGGACGAGGAGGATGATGGGTTACAGATTTCTGAACATGGCCCTGTTCTTGAGGCAGACAGTGTTGATTCTGAAGAAGAGATGGCATTTCTGTTTCCCAGAGAAAGGAATGTTGTTTTAGATGAAGGTCATGATTTAAGTGAAGCTTCACAGCTGCAGGTGGAGGAGTCAGCCACTCCATCCGGGAATTCAGTGCCTCTCGGTTCCCAGGATGACTAGTCCCAGGATAATGAGTTATCCGGCCTTGAAGGTGATGGAGATTTGATTAGGGAGGACCATTTGCAAATGAAGGGAACGCCGAAGTGCTCGGCTTGCCAACAAACGGGAAGTTCGAGGTCAACGCAATGCTTTCATGTTAGGGAAACATATTTAAAGATCTGATTGAAGTCAATCCTTTGTCAGTGCAACTTTGCTTACACCCTGTTAATTTCTCTGGAATTGCCTCGGCTTTTGGGGAAAGCTTTGGCTCTTTGGGTTATGATCTTGGCTTCTGGGGACTTTGTCATGCTGCCATGCTTGTGGATTATACTTCATGTTATTTGCCTCTGGACTTTGGAAACTCTGCCTTTGCATTTAAGACTCTGTTTTGGCTATTTATTTATTTATTTAGACCATTTCTACCCCGCCCTTCTCACCCCCGAGGGGGGACTCAGGGCGGCTAACACAGGCAACAATTCAATGCCAACAGTATCAAAACAACAATATAAAACAGCAATATAAAATCCATTACATAACAATTAAACAGTGATATTAATTAAAATTACATAACCACATAGAACAGATCACAGAATCACAGGTCATAAAGCCATTTCCAATTTTCAAACAATCCTATTGTCCGAGTTCAGTGCCTAAAGTGCTGTTGTGCCCACTAGCCAAAGGCCTGGCTCCAAAACCATGTCTTTAGTTTTTTTCCTAAAAGTAAGGAGGAAGGACGCCGATCTAATCTCGCTGGGGAGCGAAGTTCCAGAGCGGGGGGGGGGGGCACCACCGAGAAGGCCCTGTCCCTCGTCCCCACCAGACGCGTTTGTGACACCGGTGGGACCGATTTTGCTTTTTCATAAATAAACTACAAAACCTACAGCCTTGGAGTGTGGTGTTGTTCTGAGCAAGGGGAATCTATCCTGAGCTGCGACAATCGTCTGTTGTCTGATGTTTCTTTTGGGACTTCGTAAGACACTTCCATTTGTTTCTGGATTAAGACTTCCTTGCTTTCTTTTCGACTTTTCAATTGCATTTGCTTATCCTTTGTGTCTGCTGAAGTAAAGTATTTTTCTTTTACTTTCAACATTGTCTAAAGGAATTTTTGAAATGTTTTTGAAATGCAACTCAGAACACAGGCACCCTCAAACTGTGTCCCTACAGCTCCCAGAAGCCATAATGAGGTTGTTCAATTGTCAGGAATTCTAAGAGTTGAAGGCCCAAACAGCTGGAGGGCCGCAGTTTGAGATTGCCTGCTGTTAAGAATTGTTAATTAACCTAATTGGCCGAAGGCCTGGTCCCACAACCACGTTTTAACCTTTTTTCTAAAGGTGAGGAGGGATGACGATGACCTAATTTCCCCGGGGAGCAAATTCCACAGGCGGGGGGCCACCACCGAGAAGGCCCTGTCCCTCGTCCCCGCCAAGCGTGTTTGAGACAAAGGTGGGGCTGAGAGCAGGGCCTCCCCAGACGATCTTAAGCTCCGAGGTGGGACGTAGAAGGATATACGTTCGGACAGGTACGCTGGACCGGAGTCGTATAGGGCAGTGGTTCTCAACCTTTCTAACACCATGACCCCTAAATATGGTTTCTCATGTTGTGGTGACCCCCAACCATAAAATTTTCGTTGCTCCTTTATAATTGTAACTTTGCTACTGTTATGAATTGTAACGTAAATATCTGATATGCAGGATGATGATGATGATGATGATGATTATTATTATTTTCATATTGTTTTCATTGTTACAAATTCAACACAAAATTTGTTGAATTTGTAAAAAAAAAGTTCACCTACATCTGGATAGCATTGTGGACCCAAACAACTATGGATCTGGACCATATGTGGCACAAATACTCAATATGCCTAAATTTGAACACTGGTGGAGTTTGGTGAAAATAGACTCTGGCATTTGGGAGTTGCAGTTGCTTTGATGTATAGTTCCCATGCCATTAAAGAGCATTCTGAACTTCACCAACAATTGAATTGAACTAAACTTGGCATACAGAATTCCCATGACCAAAAGAAAATGCTGCAGAGGTTTGGGGCCAAAGGAGGCAGCCTCGCGACCCCTCCGAAATGGCTAAATGACCCCCCTGGGGGTCGCGACCCCCAGGTTGAGAACCACTGGTATAGGGTTTTATAGGTCAAGACCAGCACTTTGAATTGTGTTCAGATTTGGATCCGCAGCCAGTGGAGCTGGCACAGCAAGGGGGTGGTATGCTCCCTGCATGACGCTCCGGTGAGTAATCTAGCTGCCGCCCGTTTAACTAATTGCAGTTTCCGAACAGTCTTCAAAGGCAACCCCACGTAGAGAGCGTTGCAGTAGTCTAAACGGGATGTAGCCAGAGCATGGACCATCGTGGCCAGATTCGACTTCCCAAGGTATGGGCGCAACTGGCGCACAACCTTTAACTGTGCAAAAGCTCTCCCGGCCACTGCCAAAACCTGGGTTTCCAGGCTCAGCAATGAGTCCAGGATCACTCCCGAACTCCCAGGAATTGTGATCCAACACAAGCATGCATACACACAAAATATCCACAAGATCTAAAGCAGGGGTAGGGAACCTTTGGCCCTCCAGCTGTGGTGGACTTCAACTCCCACAATTCCTTGAGGCTCGGCATTGGGCCAAGGTAAGCCTTTGGGGCGAATGCCGAGCCTCAAGGAATTGTGGGAGTTGAAGTCCACCACAGCTGGAGGGCCAAAGGTTCCCTACCCCTGATCTAAAGTCTGCCTGACCTGTCCAGCACAGTTCACAAAATACTGGCACTCGATCAGGCCCCGGTCCGTCTCCACTCCGGCCACGCAGCCTTTCTGGGTCACGACGTGGATGACACTTGTGCGCTCGTGGATCTGGGCCCCTGGAAAGGGAAAGCAAGGAAAAGAAGACTCACTCGTCACCTCTTCCCAACAAAAAAGCTGCTCCGTTTGTGGCTTGCATCCCAACAGAGCAACAACTGGGGAGCGTCCAAGCAAATCCATAAACGAAAAAGGAGACGTCTTTTCAGGATGCTCGAATGTGAGTTTTTTGGTTAGCTAAAATGCCTAACACATTAGGAGGGCTGTGAGCTTTTAAGGCCATTTAAAGTTTATTTATTGTATTTTAATTCTGTTTTTAACCACACTGTTACTACTTAATTGTTTCGTTAATTTTTGTACAACACTTGTGGGGGGTGGGGATATTTATTTATCGTGACATCTGCAACCAGAACATTGTATTACATTTCTAACAGAACAAAACAAACAGATTAAAAAAAATGTAAATTTTGCAAACTTGGTAGTTGATTAAATGTCCTTTGACCAGTATCTGGCCACTTGGAGTGCCTCTGGTGTTGCCGCAAGAAGGTCCTCCATTGTGCATGTGGCAGGGCTCAGGTTGCATTGCAGCAGGTGGTCAGTGGTTTGCTCTTCTCCACACTCGCATGTCGTGGATTCCATTTTGTGGCCCCATTTCTGAAGGTTGGCTCTGCATCTCGTGGTGCCAGAGCGCAGTCTGTTCAGCGCCTTCCAAGTCGCCCAGTCTTCTGTGTGCCCAGGAGGGAGCCTCTCATTTGGTATCAGCCATTGGTTGAGGTTCTGGGTTTGAGCCTGCCACTTTTGGACTCTCGCTTGCTGAGGTGTTCCAGCGAGTGTCTCTGTAGATCTTAGGAAACTATTTCTAGATTTAAGTCGTTGACGTGCTGGCTGATACCCAAACAGGGATGAGCTGGAGATGTCTCTGCCTTGGTCCTTTCACTATTGGCTGCTACTTCCCGGCGGATGTCAGGTGGTGCAATACCGGCTAAGCAGTGTAATTTCTCCAGTGGTGTAGGGTGCAGACACCCCGTGATAATGCGGCATGTCTCATTAAGAGCCACATCTACTGTTTTAGTGTTGTGAGATGTGTTCCACACTGGGCATGCATACTCAGCAGCAGAGTAGCATAGCGCAAGGGCAGATGTCTTCACTGTCTGGTTGTGATCCCCAGGTTGTGCCAGTCAGCTTTATGATATTGTTTCTAGCACCCACTTTTTGCTTGATGTTCAGGCAGTGCTTCTTGTAGGTCAGAGAATGGTCCAGAGTGACTCCCAGGTATTTGGGTGCGCTGCAATGCTCCAGTGGGATTCCTTCCCAGGTGATCTTCAGAGCTCGGGATGCTTGTCTGTTCTTGAGATGAAAGGCACATGTCTGTGTTTTAGATGGATTAGGGATCAGCTGGTTTTCCCTGTAGTAGGCAGTAAGAGCACCTAGAGCTTCGGAGAGCTTCTGTTCTACCATCTCAAAGCTCCCTGCTTGAGTGGTAATGGCACGATCATCAGCATAGATGAAACTCTCTGTCCCTTCTGGCAGTGGCTGGTCATGGGTGTGGGGATGATGGTATGCTTTCTAAATTGTTATCAGAGAGTTCCCATAATAGGGAACATGAAAACAGCTTGGCACCTGGCCCAGCTGCAGAACTTGATGAGCAAATACATAGACGCGAGGAGATTAGTCTAAACAGGAGAACCGAACAGTGGCTTCGGCGGTCTGCCAGGCTTTGAGAGAAAAGGATAAGAAATTCTCAGTTAAAACGAAACCAATTTCTGAATGCTAGAACTTGGCTAACGAGGAGATAAAAGTCCCAAGTACAGGATATGTAGTCAGGTGAAGCATTGTTCGGAATCAAGTCAAGTCCTTGTTCTTGTTCATGGAAGCTTTGCTTGGGAAATTTATGTTTTAAGTGCTTTTGCTTCATGGTTTTGATTATTGGATTTTATGCTTGGGGTGCGGTGTTATCTGTACGCAGATGACGTCCAACTCTGTCACTCCTTTCCACCCACTTCTAAGGTGGCTGTCCAGGTCCTGAACCGGTGCTTGGCTGCTGTGTCGGACTGGATGAGGGTGAACAAATTGAAACTCAATCCAGACAAGACAGAGGTACTCCTGGTCAGTCGGAAGGCCGAGCAGGATATAGGGTTACAGCCTGTGTTGGACGGGGTCGCACTCCCCCTGAAGACGCAGGTTCGCAGCTTGGGTGTGACTCTGGATTCTTCGCTAACCTTGGAACCCCAAGTTTCGGCGGTTTCCAGAGGAGCATTTGCACAGCTTCGGCTTGTGCGCCAGTTGCGCCCGTATCTTGGGAGGTCGGACTTGGCCACGGTAGTCCACGCTCTTGTCACATCCCGTATAGATTACTGCAACGCGCTCTACGTGGGGTTGCCCTTGAAGACTGCCCGGAAGCTTCAGATGGTCCAGCGTTCGGCAGCCAGGTTGCTAACGGGAGCGGCACTCAGGGAGCACACCACTCCTCTGTTGCGCCAGCTCCACTGGCTCCAATTTGCTACCGGGCACAATTCAAAGTGCTGGCTTTAGCCTTTAAAGCCCTAAACGGTTCTGCCCGACCTATCTGTCCGAACACATCTCCTCCTATTAACCAGTTAGGACATTAAGATTGTCTGGGGAGGCCCTGCTCTCGGATCCCGCCAGCGTCACAAGTGCGGTTGGCGGGCACGAGAGACAGGGCCTTCTCGGTAGTGGCCCCTCGGCTATGGAATGCGTTACCAGCGGACATCAGGCAGGCCCCTTCGTTGCTGGCGTTTCGAAGGAGGGTTAAGACGTGGCTCTATGAACAGGCATTCGGTTAACTATGCAGTAACAACCACCCCAATAATGACGGCATTGAACAAGGATTGAATTAAGGATTATGAGAACGGGATCTGATTCTAAGTAGGCGTTGATGATTATGTGTATTGTTTGTGGATGTGTGTCTTTATATTGTTCACTGTTATTTTTACTGTAAACCGCATTGAGTCGCCGTTCCAGGCTGATAAATGCGGTATACAAATAGAGTAAATAAATAAATAAATAAATAAATAATTATTTGTTTATTTGTTTATTTTATTTCTCGTGTCAGGGCAACCAGTCAATTATATTACATTTCTAAGAGAACAAAGCAAACAAACAGACAAAATACAACATTTGTGAGTTTGGTAGTTGATTAAATGTCCTTTGACCATATCTGGCCACTTGGAGTGCCTCTGGTGTTGCTGCAAGAAGGTCCTCCATGGTGCATGTGCAGGGCTCAGGTTGCATTGCAGCAGGTGGTCAGTGGTTTGCTCTTCTCCACACTCGCATGTCGTGGATTCCACTTTGTGGCGCCATTTCTGAAGGTTGGCTCTGCATCTCGTGGTGCCAGAGCGCAGTCTGTTCAGCGCCTTCCAAGTCGTCCCGTCTTCTGTGTGCCCAGGGGGGCTCCTCTCATTTGGTATCAGCCATTGATTGAGGTTCTGGGTTTGAGCCTGCCACTTTTGGACTCTCGCTTGCTGAGGTGTTCCAGCGAGTGTCTCTGTAGATCTTAGAAAACTATTTCTTGATTTAAGTCGTTAGAATGCTGGCTGATACCCAAACAAAAACAAAACACTTTAAAGAAATTGGTAAATCCAATTAGCTAGGAAGATAAGCAGGAACAAGGTAGTCCAGGGAAATAGTCCAGCAAAGTCCATAACATAAAAACTTTCCAAATAAAATGCAAAGAATCAGGAAACATAAACCCAAGGCATGAATATAGAGCATAAAATCCAAGAACCATGAAACATGCCTTGGGTTTATGTTTCCTGACTCTTTGCATTTTATTTGGGAAGTTTTGCCTGTTATGGACTTTGCTGGACTACCTAGTTCCTGCTTATCTTCCTACCTAATTGGATTTACCTATTTCTTTAAAGTGTTTTTTTACCTTACTGCTTTTTAATTATCTTCAATAAAAGGATTGTTTTCCATCCTTTTGTGGTGTTTAAAGTCAGAGGGCTTTTCCTGTCCTGAAGTGCAACAACACCCCTGAAAGATGGCCATCCAGCCTCTGCTTAAAAACACCCAGAGAAGGAGACTCCATTGTTGTTGTTGTTGTTGGAGGGCTCACGTTTGCCCATGCCTGTTCTAGAGGAACGCAACAGAGTAGGTCACCTTCAAGCAGTACATGAGGAATTGTTGTGACTCAGCTTGACTCTGAGTCTGAAGCTGACCCCTGTGGGCTTTGTGAGGAGGATGATGGGTTACAGATTTCTGTTCATGCTTCAGACAGGGTTGACGGTGAGGCTGCAGAAGGGGAAACAGCAAGTCAGTTCCCAGGGGAAAAGAATGTCAGTGAGAATGATAACGAGAGTGAATTCCCACACGGCCAGGTGGAAATGTCTTTGCCTCCTTTGCCTTCCCATGGTGATCCGGTCCAGCTGCAGGACCAAGATAAGGGGTTAGAGAGCCTTGAAGATAACGAATTAATGAGCAGGCAAGATCGTCTGCAATTAAGGGTCTGGAGAAGCTCTCGCTTGGCAAGCAAGTGAGAAGCCAAGTGTGCCAAAGGTCATCGCAATGCGTTCATGTCTGCAGAGGTTATTCAGCCTTCGCAGTGGTCAGTTCAACGTGGCTCTTTCCATGCAAACTTCTATGGATTAACTTTGGCTTTAAGCAGCACGCTTCTGGCTTCCTGAGTCTGGAATTTGGGGTCTTGTGTTCAACTGTTTTTCATGGACTATTGTTTCATGAACTGGAATCCATGGGTTGTTGTAGGTTTTTTCCGGGCTATATGGCCATGTTCTGGAGGCAATTTTTCTCCTGACGTTTCGCCTGCATCTATGGCAAGCATCCTCAGAGGTAGTGAGGTCTGTTGGAAGTAGGAAAAATTGGTTTATATATCTGTGGAATGACCAGGGTGAGACAAAGGACTTTTGTCTGCTGGGGCTAGATGTGAATGTTTCAGCTGATCACCTTGATTAGCATTCAATGGCTTGGAAGTGCCTGGGGGGAATCCCTTGTTGAGAGTGATTTTATGTGCCTGTTTGTTTCCCCTCTGTTGTTTTGCTGTTGTGATTTTTGAGTCCTTTAATACTGGTAGCCAGATTTTGTTCATTTTCATGGTTTCTTCCTTTCTGTTGAAATTGTCCACATGCTTGTGGATTTCAATGGCTTCTCTGTGTAGTCTGACATGGTGGTTGTGAGAGTGGTCCAGCATTTCTGTGTTCTCAAATAAAATGCTGTGTCCAGGTTGGTTCATCAGGTGCTCTGCTATGGCTGATTTCTCTGGTTGGAGTAGTCTGCAGTGCCTTTCATGTTCCTTGATGCGTGTTTGGGCAATGCTGCGTTTGGTGGTCCCTATGTAGACTTGTCCACAGCTGCATGGTATACGGTAGACTCCTGCAGAGGTGAGAGGATTTCTCTTGTCCTTTGCTGAACGTAGCATTTGTTGGATTTTCTTGGTGGGTCTGTAAGTGGTTTGTATGTTGTGTTTCCTCATCAGCTTCCCTATGCGGTCAGTGGTTCCCTTGATGTATGGCAGGAACACTTTTCCTCTGGGTGGATCTTCATCTTGACTCTCGTGGCTTGTTCTCTTGGTCTTGCAGCTCTTCTGATGTCTGAGGTGGAGTCTCCATTGGCCTGGAGAGCCCAGTTGAGGTGGTTCAGTTCATCTTGGAGGAGGTGGGCTTTGCAGATTCTTTTTGCAGGGTCTGCCAAGGCTTTAATGGTGCTTCTTTTTTGACTTGGGTGATGGTTGGAGTTTTTATGTAGATATCTATCTGTGTGTGTGGGTTTTCTGTAGACGGTGTGACCCAATTGTTGATCTGGTTTGCGGATGACTAGGACATCTAGAAAAGGCAGTCTTCCTTCATTTTCTTTTTCCATGGTGAACTGGATGTTTGGGTGGATGCTGTTGAGATGGTCCAGGAACCTGTTGAGTTCTTCTTCTCCATGGCTCCAAATGGTGAAGGTGTCATCCACATCTCTGAACCATATCGTGGGCTTTTTGGTTGCTGTCTCCAGGGCTTGTTCTTCAAAGTGTTCCATGTAGAAGTTAGCTATGACCGGGCTGAGAGGGCTCCCCATCGCTACTCCATCTTTCTGTTTGTAGAATTCATTGTCCCACTGAAAGTAGCTGGTGGTGAGGCAATGGGGAAACAGAGCTGTGATGTCTTCTGGGAACCTCATGCTTCATGTTTTTGCCTTTGAATCTTGGGAACTGTGTCTTTGCATTTAAGCCTTTTGGAACTTTGCATTTCTTATACTATGTTTTGACTTTGACTTTTCTTCAATAAACTACAAAATCTACAGCTTTGGTGAAGTGGTGTTTGGGAGCAAGGTGAAAACTACCCTGAGTTGCAACAGGAATGCAGACTCTGCCCAACCAGGGAGGGATTCCTTGAAAGGTCCCCGCACAAAGCTGACTTTGTTTTGACCTAGAAGGAGGCACCTCTGAGTCTCGAGCGAGGAAGAACAACAGCCACAAGAGCACATACTTGGCCTGTCAGTTCAGTCTCTGGCATCTCACTCTGAAACAAGAAACCGGCATCTAAAGCTGGAATGGGAAACCCAAGTTCGAAAGGCCGAGGGGCTGGAAGAGCAACAACCAATTGGAAGAAACAAACCCTTCACAAGGAGGACTGTGGGCATGGTTTGAATGTTGGGCAGCTTCTGAAAGACCACTCAACAAAGGTGAATTGAGCCTCACCTACTTAAAAAGGATAACTCTCTGCAACAATATATATATATATATCCATTCCTGGTTTGAAAGTGTTATAAAGAACACTCAAAAACAGGGGAACTCCAGACAAGAAACAATCAGGGACAGCTAATCACCTCTCAACAAAGGATTCCCCCAGGCTGTAAGATGTCACACCTGAAACTAATCAAGGTGGCCAACGAAAACATTCACACCTAGCTCCAACAGACAAGAGTTCTTTCTCCCACCGTGGACATTCCAGAGATATAAGTAAAGGTAAAGGTTTCCCCTTGACATTAAGTCCAGTCGTGTCCGACTCTGGGGGTTGGGACTCATCGCCATTTTTAAGCCAAAGAGCCGGTGTTGACCGTAGACACCTCCAAGGTTCATGAGGTCAGTATGACTGCAAGGAGCACCATTATCTTCCCGCCAGAGTGGTACCTATTGCTCTACTCACATTTGCATGTTTTCGAACTACTAGATTGGCAGAAGCTGGGGCTAACAGTGGGAGCTCACTCTGCTCCCCGGATTTGAACCTATAGTGTTACACAGTGTAACTGAAGGAGCCAAGAGAGCCTATTCATACCGTTCAGAGAAGCAGCATGGCCCAAAGCGTGGCTCACGTCCGCAGACGAGACGACCGCGTCTTCCGGTACATACATGGCCCCCACCAAGTCATGGATGTTGATCAGCGGGTGGAGCTGCGCCACTCTCTTGGGCGGGATGATCTCGCACGGGATTCCCATGACCCTGACAGAGAAAGAGAGCACACAGAGCGGGAATCCATCACTGCCTGCCCTAGAAAGGCAGCCATATGGCCTTGCGCATATATATATATATATATATATATATATATATATATATATATAAAGAGAGAGAGAGAGAGAGAGAGAGAGAGAGAGAGATATAGAAAGGCAACCATATGGCCTTGCATAGCTCTCTCTCTCTCTCTCTCTCTCTATATATATATATATATATATGCGCGCAAGGCCATATGGCTGCCTTTCTATATATTATTATTATTATTATTATTATTATTATTTAGAGCTTTTCTAACCAGTCTTCTCGACCTCCGAGGAGGGACTCAGGCCGGCTAATAACAGAGACTCAATATACAAATAAACTAAAGCATAATAACATCATAGTACATTAATACATTAAAACACATTAAAATACAGATCAAGAATTACATAAAGCCAATTTGTCAAGGTAAATCACAAATTCACCACCATCCGCCTTGTGGTCAACAGTTATTGATTTGATCATCAATCTGAGAATGCTAAGTTCCAGATTCCAGTAGTATTACTACTACTACTACTACTACTACTACTACTACTACTACTACTATATTTATTTATACCCTCCCGAAGGAGACTCAAAGTGGCATAATATAAAAACATCAGCATATAATTTAAAATACGCAATTATTATTATTTGATACATAACAAGATTTATTTATTTATTTGGTAGTTTTGTATCCCGGTCTTCTCACCTCCATTCGAGGGACTCAGGCCGGTTTCCAACATCAATATTACAGACCGTCATTAAAACATCATATTTCTAAATCACACTAAAACATTAAAACAATTAAAATGGCAAAAATACAATCATATGATTACAGTGGTCAGTCGTCATCCATCCATATCACAGGGTCATGGCTCATTCGCCGAATGCCAATCCCCAAAGCCAGGTTTTCACCTGTTTCCTGAACGTTAAGATCGAAGGGGCAGTTCTGATTTCCAGTGGAAGGGAGTTCCAGAGTCGAGGGGCCACCACCGAGAAGGCCCTGTCTCTCGTCCCCACCAGCCGCGCCTGTGAGGCCGGTGGGATCGAGAGCAGCGCCCCTCCAGACGATCTTAGTAATCTTGATGGCTCATAGGGGAGGATACGTTCGGACAGGTAAATTGGGCCGGAGTTGTTGACAATGCTGGCTTTTATATTGGATCACGCGTTGGACACTTTCTAAGTGTCTAGGACTGTGTGATGTATCGGCAAATAATGCACACAGATCCCAGTAAGGTGGTCTTCTGCAGCTGGCAGATGGTAATTTTGTCGGCGCCGATTGTTTTTAAGTGTAGGACAAGGTCTTTAGGCACTGCACCCAGTGTGCCCATCACCACTGGGACCAGCTTGACTGGCTTATGCCAGAGTCTTTGCAATTCGTATTGTATAAGCTTTGCAATTCGTATCATATAAGCCTCATATCGTATAAGCTTTGATTTATAATTATAATTTATTTATTGATACTCCTCTTTACCTCTCTCAAAGGAGACTCAAAGGGCGGGGTGCAAATATCTGAAATAATAATATAATAATAATTGCATCCATACAGCTATGCATTTTCTAATGCATTGCCCATCTCGTCTACAGTGTTGGACTCACTTGAGCCGCGAGGCGATGCGCTTCAGGGAGATCAGCCGGTCCTGCGTCTGGGCCAAAGAGATGGAGCCCGTCCTCACGTAACCTGGAACAAGAAGCAGCAGCCTCTTAGGAGACAACTCTCCACATATCCAAAGCAGACAAGATCTTTCCAGATTTCCAGATAGTCTACCCCAGGCATGGACTAATTTGGGCCCTCCAGGTGTTTTGGACTTCAACTCCCACAATTCCTAACAGCCTATGAGTGAATGAAATAGTTTGTGTGCACATGCTTAAAAACCTTTGGCTATAAAATACTCTTGAGAGTGTGGCACCTGCCTACCCAACAGAAGGATTTGGCCAAATAAATGTGTTGTATCTGATCTTCTCAACTTGTAGCGTCTCGACGGGTACCTACACTACTTGTTGTTGTTATTATTCTCTTTGGTGGAACTTAATTGCAATCCCACAGGACCTTACCCGTTTGTATCCCTGTCTCTTGCTCCAGTTGCTGGTAGAGCTTGTTGGAGTAGTCGGCCATCTTCAGCTCTATCGAGAGGTGCCGTGCGGTGCTGACGATCCCAGCGCAGAATCGGGTGGAACCAGCAGCCAACCTGAAAGACGGAGAGAGATCGATCCCAGGGAATGTCTTTGTGTCTAAATTCAACACGGATGTGTTGTCGAAGGCTTTCACGGCCGGAATCACTGGATTGCTGTGAGTTTTCTAGGCTGTACAGCCATGTTCAAGAAGCATTCTCTCCTGACGTTTCACCCACATCTATGGCAGGCATCCTCAGAGGTTGTGAGGTCTGTTGGAAACTAGACAAGTGAGGTTTATATATCTGTGGAATGATGTCCAGGGTGGGAGAAAGAACTCTTGCCTATTGGACGCAAGTATTTATTTGTCGTGTCAGGGCAACCAGTCAATTATATTACATTTCTAACAGAGCAAAGCAAACAAACAGACAAAATACAAAATTTGTGAGTTTGGTAGTTGATTAAATGTCCTTTGACCAGTATCTGGCCCCTTGGAGTGCCTCTGATGTTGCCGCAAGGAGGTCCTCCATGGTGCATGTGGCAGGGCTCAGGGTGCATTGCAGTAGGTGGTCAGTGGTTTACTCCTCTCCACACTCGCATATCGTGGATTCCACTTTGTGGCCCCATTTCTGAAGGTTGGCTCTGCATCTCGTGGTGCCAGAGCGCAGTCTGTTCAATGCCTTCCAAGTCACCCAGTCTTCTGTGTGCCCAGGGGGGAGTCTCTCATTTGGTATCAGCCATTGGCTGAGGTTCTGGGTTTGAGCCTGCCACTTTTGGACTCTCGCTTGCTGAGGTGTTCCAGCGAGTGTCTCTGTAGATCTTAGAAAACTATTTCTAGATTTAAGTCGTTGACGCTGGCTGATACCCAAACAGGGGGTGAGCTGGAGATGTCTCTGCCTTCGTCCTTTCACTATTGGCTGCTACTTCTCGGCGGATGTCAAGTGGTGCAATACCGGCTAAGCAGTGTAATTTCTCCAGTGGTGTTGGGCGCAGACACCCTGTGATAATGCGGCATGTCTCATTAAGAGCCACATCCACTGTTTTAGCGTGGTGAGATGTGTTCCACACTGGGCATGCATACTCAGCAGCAGCATAACATAGCGCCAGGGCAGATGTCTTCACTGTGTCTGGTTGTGATCCCCAGGTTGTGCCAGTCAGCTTTCGTATGATATTGTTTCTAGCGCCACTTTTTGCTTGATGTTCAGGCAGTGCTTCTTGTAGGTCAGAGCACGGTCCAGAGTGACTCCCAGGTATTTGGGTGCGCTGCAATGCTCCAGTGGGATTCCTTCCCAGGTGATCCTCAGAGCTCGGGATGCTTGTCTGTTCTTGAGATGAAAGGCACATGTCTGTGTTTTAGATGGATTAGGGATCAGCTGGTTTTCCCTGTAATAGGCAGTAAGAGCACCTAGAGCTTCGGAGAGCTTCTGTTCAACCATCTCAAAGCTCCCTGCTTGAGCTGTGATGGAGGCAAGTGTGAATGCTGCAATTGGCCAGCTTGATTAGCATTGAATAGACAAGGGTTCTTTCTCCCATCCTGGACATCATTCCACGGGTATATATACCCTCCACTTGCCTCACTGCCAGCAGAAACTCTGAGTATGCAATTAGCCACAGATGCAGGCAAAACATCAGGACAGGAATCAATGCTACTGGAACATAGAAAACTCACAGTAGCCCAGTTACTGTACTATTTGTACTTGATTTTTGTTTGTCATACATACAGAATAAAATTTGAAGAGAGAGAGAGAAGAAATAGCTGTTGTACTCCAGAAAAGGAACCAACATAGTCAAATCAGCTAGCAGTTTATTGAAGGATATATGTAAGCAAAGCAGTAAAAATTGTAATAATAATAATAATAATAATAATAATAATAATAATAATAATAATACTTTATTTATATTCCGCCCTTCTCACCCTGAAGTGGATTCAGGGCGGATCACAGTACATATACACGGCAATGCCGCTTTGTATAGACAATACACAGACAGACAGAACAGAAGGAGGTGGTTTGTTTCATCTGTTTTTGATGCCGTGGAAGGTTGGGCTCGAGTCCAGGGGGTGCTGTTGCTCTATCCTCTATGACGAAGACCCGTCAGGACTTCCTTCTTCCTTTTGGTCACCCACATTTTCTGATCTTCTTTCTTTTATGGCGTCGTAAAACACCTCCCCTGCTTTTAGTGGTACCTAATTTCTCTAATCACAGCTAACACTGTATTCGAATTGCTTAGGTAAACAATGAGCTAGGGCGAGTTGGCAGCTCACGCCAACCCAGGGCTTCAAACTTGCAACCTTTTGGTTGATAGATCTTATAATTGCTGATGATTTACCCGCTGTGCTAAACCTCCGGCTACACTGTGGTTCCACAGTACAGTTCAAAGATAAAGGATAGTCCATGAGCTTCAAGGCACAAGGTAAAACGTGAGATCTAAGGGTACAAAATCTATAAAACAAGGCAGCATGAAAATCCAACACACAGATCAAGAGCCTGTCAAATCTTGGAACATGAAACTAGGAACACTTGGAATCAAGACCGTCATGAAATTCCATCGCTGACGAGACTGAGCTAACTCTTTCCCTTGTATCGATATAAAGCTTTTCCTATCCCCAGAACTGAAAGGAAAGCATTTCTCTTGTCCTTACAAGCAGATAAGGATTTGCTACCTCTCTTTTCCTGCTAAAACTTGGAACATGAAACTAGGAACACTTGGAATCAAGACTATCATGAAATTCCAACGTTGACGAGACTGAGCTAACTCTTTCCCTTGTATTGATATAAAGCTTTTCCTATCCCCAGAACCGAAAGGAAAGCATTTCTCTTGTCCTTACAACCAGATAAGGATTTGCTACCTCTCTTTTCCTGCCTACCTGCGTGACCACATCACTGTGTACGAACCCACATGCTCTCTTCGATCATCTGGAGAGGCCCTGCTTGCGCTCGCACTCCAGCCTCCATCGCAAGCGCGACTGGTGGGGACGAGGGACAGGGCCTTCTCGGTGGTGGCCCCTCGACTCTGGAACTCACTCCCCAGGGACATCAGACATGCCCCAACGCTGGCAGTCTTTAGAAAGAGCCTGAAAATGTGGTTGTTCCAGTGTGCCTTCCCAGAATAAGGAAACTCCCAGCAATATGTCCCTAAATGCACTTTTTAGTGATCTAGGATCGTCTACATGCTCTATCCCTCTCCAAAATGTCTATCCTGTTTATATGCCACCTGGTCACGCCCAGCATTATTTTTTAAATTTTTAATTAGTACATTGGCCCTGCCATAGCTTTTTAAACGTCGCTTGTTATTGTTAATGTTTATTGCTATTTTCTGTTTATGAGTTTATTTATTGTTTGTATTACTATTGCTATTGTTTTTGTTGTTGTATTGTGGGCTCGGCCTCATGTAAGCCGCACCGAGTCCCTTGGGGGAGATGGTAGCAGGGTACAAATAAAGTTTTATAATAATAATAATAACAACAATAACAACAACAACAACTATTATTATTATTATTATTATTATTATCCTGCAAATGAATTGACCTTCACTGTGCCTGAGAACTTTGTTTCTGTTTACAAAAGTCTTGCTTTCTATCTTCCCTCTCATAGAATCATAGAATCAAAGAGTTGGAAGAGACCTCATGGGCCATCCAGTCCAACCCCATTCTGCCAAGAAGCAGGAATATTGCATTCAAATCACCCCTGACAGATGGCCATCCAGCCTCTTTTTCAAAGCTTCCAAAGAAGGAGCCTCCACCACACTCCGGGGCAGAGAGTTCCACTGCTGAACGGCTCTCACAGTCAGGAAGTTCTTCCTCATGTTCAGATGGAATCTCCTCTCTTGTAGTTTGAAGCCATTGTTCCGCGTCCTAGTCTCCAAGGAAGCAGAAAACAAGCTTGCTCCCTCCTCTCCCTGTGGCTTCCTCTCACATATTTATACATGGCTATCATATCCCCTCTCAGCCTTCTCTTCTTCAGGCTAAACATGCCCAGCTCCTTAAGCGGCTCCTCATAGGGCTTGTTCTCCAGACCCTTAACAAGCTTGCTCCCCTCCTCCCTGTGGCTTCCTCTCACATATTTATACATGGCTATCATATCTCCTCTCAGCCTTCTCTTCTTCAGGCTAAACATGCCCAGCTCCTTAAGCCGCTCCTCATAGGGCTTGTTCTCCAGACCCTTGATCTGCTCCCTCCTCCCTGTGCTTCCTCTCACATATTTATACATGGCTATCATATCCCCTCTCAGCCTTCTCTTCTTCAGGCTAAACATGCCCAGCTCCTTAAGCCGCTCCTCATAGGGCTTGTTCTCCAGACCTTTTGTCATTTTAGTCGCTCTCCTCTGGACACATTCCAGCTTGTCAATATCTCTCTTGAATTGTGGTGCCCAGAACTGGACACAATATTCCAGGTGTGGTCTAACCAAATCTCATTAAATTCTGCACCTGACAAATCATGTTCAGGAGACAGTTTCTCAGAGAAAGACTGTTGAGGGCCTCTCCCAGGAATGTGGCCTTGTGAATCTGCAGGAGAAACACTCCGTTCATGAGACACCTTGGGCCTCTCGCCTGGGCTTAACTCAGGCCTAAGAAAGCCATCATCCCCAATCCCAACCGGCCCAGACCCAGAAAAACCTTCATCCCCATTTCCATCATGAACATCAGACACAATCACAGGCTGAACTACAACAATGGCATCTGTTTACCTTCCCTGTTCCAGCAGGACGATGTCCTTCCACCCCAGCTTGGAGAGGTGATAGGCCACCGAGGTGCCCATGATACCCCCTCCACAGATCACCACCTGCGCATGGGACGGCAGTGGGGCCAGGTGAGGCTCTGGGCCACCGGTGCTGCTGTGTCGGCCACTGGAGATACCCCACCATCCATGACCGGCCCTTTGCCACCGGACGTCAGACAGCAATCGGAGGAACATCTTGAAGGAGGGCTCTTCCTGGTGGCTCTGTGCAAAAATCCTCCTTGCCTCTGCAAAATGCCAAGATTTGCTCATATTATTTATTTATTTATTTACTGCATTTATTGACCGCCGCTCTCAGCCCTAGGGCGACTCGCGGCGGTGCACAACATATAAAAACAGTTTACAAAAGGGCAAAACAGGAAATCAATACAACAATAATACACTATAATCTAGTTACACTAAATAATCCGCTCCGTCACATCATAGAATCATAACCAATATCGTAATCCGTATTCCGTTCCAGTTGTCAATTACCAGTTGCCGTAGCGCTCAGTTGAATGCCTTCTCAAATAGCCAGGTCTTCAGGCTCTTTCGGAAGGACAGAAGGGAAGGCGCCTGTCTGATGTCAGCAGGGAGGTCGTTCCACAGCCGGGGGGCCACCACCGAGAAGGCCCTTTCTCTCGTCCCCGCCAGACGTGCCTGTGAAGCAGGCGGGATCGAGAGAAGGGCCTCCCCAGACGATCTTAAGGCCCTCGTGGGCTCATAGGCCGAGATGCGGTCCGATAGGTATTTTGGGCCGGAACCGTTTAGGGCTTTGTAGGATAACACCAGCACCTTAAATTGGGCCCGGTAGCAGATCGGCAGCCAGTGGAGCTGGGACAACAAGGGCGTTGTGTGCTCCCTGCGTCCCGCTCCTGTTAGTAACATGGCTGCCGCGCGCTGGACTAGCTGAAGCTTCCGGGCCGTCTTTAAGGGCAGCCCACGTAGAGAGCGTTGCAGTAGTCAAGGCGGGATGTGACCAGAGCGTGTACCACCATGGCCAAGTCAGACTTCCCAAGGTACGGGCGCAGCTGGCGCACGAGCCTAAGCTGTGCGAATGCTCCCCTGGTCACCGCTGAAACCTGGGGATCCAGGCTCAATGATGAATCCAGGGTCACACCCAAGCTGCGAACCTGCGCCTTCAAGGGGAGTGCGACCCCGTCCAGCACAGGCTGTAACCCTATACCCTGTTCGGCCTTGCGACTGACCAGGAGTACCTCTGTCTTGTCTGGATTCAATTTCAATTTGTTCGCCCTCATCCAGACCGTCACAGCGGCCAGGCACCGGTTCAGGACCTCGACAGCCTCCTTAGTAGCAGGTGGAAAGGAGTGACAGAGTTGGACATCATCTGCGTACAGATGACACCGCACCCCGAAACTCCGGATTAGGGCAGGTATGGGCAGGTATTAGGGCAGGTATTAGGGCAGGTATGGGCGAACTTCAGCCCTCCAGGTGTTTTGGACTTCAACTCCCACAATTCCTAACAGCCGGTAGGCTGTTAGGAATTGTGGGAGTTGAAGTCCAAAACACCTGGAGGGCGAAGTTTGCCCATGCCTGGTATATACAGTCATTAACATTAATGTGACCTGACAAAGTTGTCTTGCTCAGGCTCCTGCTTCCTTCGCATCAACACCTTTTCCCTCTGTTCCCACTCCCTCCTGTTCTACCAAACAACAAAACCTACCACTTTATTCAATCCTGATGCAACCACATCTGGACAGGGCTCACCACCTAGGAAACCAATTAAGATAAGAAAAGAAATTAACAAAAGCTTTAAAACAACCAGGAGATAGACCTTCCAAGCCTTGATGAGTGGAAATAGTAATAACACTATGTAATACGATTGTTGTGTTATGTTTCTAACCCAACTTTATTCCAGTATGGAATTATTACTATTATTATTATTACTGTATATACTCAAGTATAGTTTTTCAGCCCTTTTTTAAGGCCGAAAGGTCCCCCTCGGCTTAAGTCAAGGTTATTTATTATTTTACTCTGTTGTTATTGTTGTTGTTATTATTACTATTATTATTTGAAACACAGCAAGATGAGTCCACAGCAGACAAGATCACTCTGCTGGCTGTTGTATTGGATTATTATTATTATTATTATTATTATTATTATTATTATTATTATTACTATTATCTCCTGCTTTATCCCTCTAAAAAGAAACTCAAAGCAGCATCATCATTATTATTATAAGTATTATTTCATCATCATTATTCAATTATTATCGTACCATTATTATTACTATTATTATTACTACTATTATCTCATGTTTCATGCCTCTAAATATAAACTCAAAGTGGTATCATTACTATTATTGTTATTCCATTATTATTATTATTATTATTATTATTATTATTATTACTATTCCATTATTATTCTGTCATTATGATTCCATTATTATTATCATTCCGCTATGGTTGTTTTGTTGTTGTTATATTTATGTCCTGCTTTATGCCTCTAAAAAGAAACTCAAAGCGGCATTGATACTGTTGTTATTATTATTATTCGAGTATTAGTATTTGAAACACAACAAGATGAGTCCACAGCAAACAAGATCACTCTGCTGGCTGTTGTATTGGATCACACGTCAGACACTTCCCAAGTGTCTCGGACTGTGTGATGTATCAGCGGATAATGCATGCAGATCCCAGTAAGGTGGCCGTTTGCAGCTGGCAGATGGTAATATTGTGTTTAAGTGCAGGCCAAGGTCTTGAGGAACTACCCAGTGTGCCAATCACCACTGGGACCACCTTGACTGGCTTGTGCCAGAGTCTTTGCAATTCAATCTTTAAATCCTCATATCATGTTAGCTTTTCCAGTTGTTTCTCTTCAGTCCTGCTGTCACCTGGGATTGCAACATCAACAATACTGTTATTATTATTATTATTATTATTATTATTATTATTATTATTATTTGAAACACAACAAGATGAGTCAACAGCAGACACTCTGCTGGCTGTTGTATTGGATCACACATCGGACACTTCCCAAGTGTCTAGGACTGTGTGATGTATCGGGGAATAATGCGTGCAGATCCCAGTAAGGTGGCCTTCTGCAGCTGGCAGATGGTAATCTGGTCAGCGCCAATTGTATTTAAGTGCAGGCCATGGTCTTTAGGCACTGCACCCAGTGTGCCGATCTCCACTGGGACCACCTTTACTGGTTTGTGCCAGAGTCTTTGCACAAACAGAGACTTCGTTGTTGTTGTTATTATATATTTATTATTTTACTCTATTATTATTACCATTTTACTCTATTATTATTAACATTTTCATTTTATTATTGTTGTTCTTAAACCGCTTTGAGTCCCCCTCGGGGTGAGAAAAGCGGTATATAAATGCTGTAAATAAATAGATAAATAATTACATTTATTATTTTACTCTATTGTTACAGTTATTATTGCATTTCCATTATTTTACATTATTATTATTATTATTATTATTACATTTATTATTTTACTCTACTGTTTAGAAGGATACGTAAGCACATTTACACTGAAGAGGGTTAGAATAATGGTGTAATCAGAGTTGGACAGTCTTATCTTAAATTACAGTTTTATGTAAATACTAGATGTACCTGCCACTCATTGCTGTGGCCAACCTTCCCTCACTCTTTCACTCCTTCTGTTTTTCTCTCCTTCCTTCCTTCCCTCCCTCTTTCCTTCCTTTCCTCTTTTTCTTTCCCTTCTTCTTTCTTCCTTCTCTACCTGTTTCTTTCCTCCCTTTCTTTGCTCTTTAGTTCCAGCCTTCCTTGTCTCTTTCCTTCCTTCCTTCCTTGTCTCCTTCCTTCCTTCCTTCCTTCCTTCCTTCCTTCCTTCCTTCCTTCCTTCCCTCCCTCCCTCTCTCTTTCGTTCCTTCTCTCTTTCTTTCCTTCCTTTACTTTTTTATTTCCTTCTCTCCTTCCCTCATTTCCATCTTTCTCTCCCTCCTTCTCTCCTTCCTTCCCCTTTTCTGTGTATATGTTTTGTGTGTGCATATATATGTGTATATATGTGTATTTGTGTATATATGTGGTTTTGCACATGCGTTGTAATGCATTTTTTTTCTTTTTAAGTCTCCACTGCTGTGTTTTTCAAAGTTTTTATGAGTGATGGTCACTCGTTGGCCTGATTGGTGTCTTGTGCCCAAATTTGGTGTCAATTCCCAGTGGTTTTTGAGTTATGTTAATCCCACAAAAACATTACATTTTTATTTATATAACTACCGTCCCCTTCCACGCATTGCTGTGGCCCAGTCTGGTGGTCATGGGGGTTCTGTGTAGGAAGTTTGGCCCAATTCAATCATTGGCGGGGTTCAGAATGCTCTGTGATTGTAGGTAAACTATAATCCCAGCAACTACAACTCCCAAATGTCAAGATTCTATTTTCCCCAAACTCCACCAGTGTTCACATTTGGCATATGGAATATTTGTGGTAAGTTTGGTCCAGATCCATCATTGTTTGAGTCCACAGTGCTCTCTGGATGTAGGTGAACTACAACTCCCAAACTCAAGGTCAATGCCCACCAAATCCTTCTAGTGTTTTCTTTTGGTCATGGGAGTTTTGTGTCCCACGTTTGGTTCAATTCCATCATTGGTGGAGTTCAGAATGCTCTTTGATTGTAGGTGAACTATAAATCCCAGCAACTACAACTCCCAAATGACAAAATCAAGTTTTTGAGTGATGGACATACATTGGGTTGTTAGATGTCTTGTGTCCAAATTTGGTGTCAATTCATCCAGTGGTTTTTGAGTTTTGTTAATCCCACAAACAAACATTACATTTTTATTTATATAGATATGAGTATTCGTGCCAAGTTTGGTCCAGATCCATCATTGTTTGAGTCCACAGTGCTCTCTGGATGTAGGTGAACTACAACTCCCAAACTCAAGGTCAATGCAGACCGAACCCTTCTAGTCTTTTCTGTTGGTCATGGAGTCCTGTGTCCCACAGTTTGGTTCAATTCCATCATTGGTGGAGTTCAGAATGCTCTTTGATTGGGTGGAACTATAAATCCCAGCAACTACAACTCCCAAATGACAAAATCATTTGTTTAGTGAAGGACATACATTGGGTTGTTAAGTGTCTTGTGTCCAAATTTGGGGTCAGTTCGTCCAGTGGTTTTTGAGCTATGTTAATCCCACAAACGAACATTACATTTTTATTTATATAGATTTATAAATAGGCCTCAATTAATGTCATTTTATTGGTATCTCTTTTTATTTTGGAATTGACCCGTAGCGGCTGCATTTCCCACCCTTGGCATATACTGGAGCCAATCTGTTTTCTCAGTTATTTGTGATAAAATTAGGTGCCTTGGCTTATATTCGGGTCGGCTTATACTCAAGTATATACGGTACAACGGCGACCTGTCCACGCAGCCCTATATCCCAGAATATCAAGGCAGAACAGACAAGCATCCCGAGCTCTGAGGATTACCTGGGAAGGAATCCCACGGGAGCATTGCAACACACCCAAATACCTGGGAGTCACTCTGGACCGTGCTCTGACCTACAAGAAGCACTGCCTGAACATCAAGCAAAAAGTGGGTGCTGGAAACAATATCATACGAAAGCTGACTGGCACAACCTGGGGATCACAACCAGACACAGTGAAGACATCTGCCCTTGCGCTATGCTACTCTACTGCTGAGTATGCATGCCCAGTGTGGAACACATCTCACCACACTAAAACAGTGGATGTGGCTCTTAATGAGACATGCCGCATTATCACGGGGTGTCTGCGCCCTACACCACTGGAGGAATTACACTGTTTATCCGGTATTGCACCACCTGAAATCCACCGGGAAGTAGCAGCCAATAGTGAAAGGACCAAGGCAGAGACATCTCCAGCTCATCCGCTGTTTGGGTATCAGCCGGCATGTCAACGACTTAAATCAAGACATAGTTTCTTAGATCTATAGAGACACTCGCTGGAACATCCCAGCAAGCGAGAGTCCAAAAGTGGCAGGCCCAAACCCAGCACCTCAATCCATGGGTGATACCAAATGAGAGACTCCCCCCTGGGCACACAGAAGACCGGGCGACTCAGAAGGCGCTGAACAGACTGCGCTCTGGCACCACGAGATGCAGAGCCAGTCTTAAGAAATGGGGCCACAAAGTGGAATCCTCGGCATGCGAGTGCAGAGAAGAGCAAACCACTGACCACCTGCTGCAATGCAACCTGAGCCCTGCCACATGCACAATGGAGGACCTTCTTGCGGCAACCCCAGAGGCACTCCAAGGGGCCAGATACTGGTCAAAGGACATTTAACCAACTACCAAATTTGCAAAATCTGTGTGTTTTTTTCCCCGTTTTCTTTTTAATCTGTGTGTTTGTTTTGCTCTGTTAGAACTGTAATACAATGGTACGGTTGCTGATGACACAATAAATAAATAAGGCAGAAATGCCCATATTATATAAGAAATTCCATCTGTGAGCAGTACCTTTCTCAAGGGCAGCCAAGAAGTCCAAGAGTAGCATTCACACTTTCCAATTCTCCAGAACTCTTCATCGGAACTGGCAACGAGACAAAGCAATAATAACGATAGTAAAGGTTTCCCCTTGACATTAAGTCTGAGACAGCCCCGTCTCTCGTCTGCGGAAATCGTGGGACCGAGAGCAGTGCCTTCCCAGATGATCGTAAACTCTGTGGTACCTATTGATCTACTCACATTTGCATGTTTTTGAATTACTAGGTTGGAAGCTGGGCCTAACAGTGGGAGCTCACCCTGCTCCCTGGAAGAGGAATTGTTGGGGGCTATAGACAATGCGGTTGCTGTTGCCCATTTCTGATCAAAAGACATTTAGCTGCTTATGATCCTTCTATTTTTACTAGATTTTTAAATACTAATGTATGCAATGCTTAAATAAAATACACATTTCATGTCTATGTTAAACAGCATGGGGGACAAAAGAGAACCCCGAGGAACCCCACAGGTCAGCAGAAGTCCCCCAGAAACTCCTTCCAGGTATGGCACTCCAGGAAGGACCAGAGCATTATTATTATTGTTAATATAATCACTATTATTGCAAAAGTTGGGTGGCCATCTGTTGGGGTGGCTTGGATTGTGCTTTCCCTGCATAATGGAAGAACGGGGTTGGACTTGATGGCCTTTGGGACCCCTTCCAAATCTATGAATCTATTATTATTGTGTATTATTATGTGGATGCTCTGGTTGTCTCTGGTTGCTCCAAGTGGCCAGATACTGGTCAAAGGACATTTAACCAAATACCAAATTTGCAAAATCTCTGTGTTTTTTTCCTCCTTTTTCTTTTTAATCTGTGTGTTTGTTTTGCTCTGTTAGAATTGTAATACAATGGTATGGTTGCTGATGACACAATAAATAAATAAACGTGGATGCTGGATGACCATCTGTTGGGAGGGATTAGATGGTGCTTTCCCTGCATAATGGAAGAATGGGGTTGGACTAGATGTCCTTTGGAACTCCTCCCAAGTCTAGGATTCTATTATTATTATTATTATTATTATTAAGAAGAGGCTGGATGGCCATCTGTTGGGAGGGATTAGAGTGTGCTTTCCCTGCATAATGGAGGAATAGGGTTGGACTAGATGTCCTTTGGGACCCCTCCCAACCCTAGGATTCTATTATTATTATTATTATTATTATTATTACAGAGGCTGGATGGCCATCTGTTGGGAGGGCTTAGATTGTGCTTCCCCTTCATAATGGAAGAATGGGATTGACCTAGATGGCCTTTGGGACCCTTCCCAACTCTAGGATTCTATTATTATTATTATTATTATGCAGAGATTGGATGGCCATCTATTGGGAAGGCTTAGATTGTGCTTTCCTTGCATAATGGAAGAATGGGGTTGGACTAGATGTCCCTTGGGACCCTCCCAACTCTAGGATTCTATTATTACTATTATTATTAAACAGAGGCAGGATGGCCATCTGTTGGGAGGGATTAGAGTGTGCTTTCCCTGCATAATGGAAGAATGGGGTTGGACTAGATGTCCTTTGGAACCCCTCCCAACCCTCGGATTCTATTATTACTATTATTATTAAGAAGAGGCTGGATGGCCATCTGTTGGGAGGGATTAGAGTGTGCTTTCCCTGCATAATGGAAGAATGAGGTTGGACTAGATGTCCTTTGGGACCCCTCCTAACCCTAGGATTCTATTATTACTATTATTATTATTATTATTAAGCTGAGACAGAATGACCATCTGTTGGGAGGGATTAGATTGTGCTTTCCTTGCATAATGGAAGAATGGGGTTGGTCTAGATGGCCTTTGGGACCCTTCCCAACTCTAGGATTCTATTATTATGAACCAGAGGTTGGATGGCCATCTGTTGGGAAGGCTCAGAGTGTGCTTTCTCTGCATAATGGAAGAATGAGGCTGGACTAGATGTCCTTTGGGACCCCTCCCAACCCTAGGATTCTATTATTATTATTATTATTATTATTATTAAGCAGAGGCTGGATTATCATCTGTTGGGAAGGCTTAGACTGTGTTTTCCCTGCAAAATGGAAGAATGGGGTTGGACTAGATGTCCTTTGGAATCCCTCCCAACTCTAGGATCCTATTACTATTATTATTAAGCAGAGGTTGGATGACAATCTGTTGGGTGGGATTAGATGGTCCTTTCCCTGCATAATGGAAGAATGGGGTTGGCCTTGTTGGCCTTTGGAATTCCTTCCAATGTCAGACTCCATTACTATGATTATTATGCTGAGGCTGAATGGCCATCTGTTGGGAGGGCTTAGATGGTGCTTTCCTTGCATAATGGAAAAATGGGATTGACCTAGATGGCCTTTGGAACCCTTCCCAACTCTAGGATTCTATTATTATTACGATTACTATTATTATTATTATTATTATTATTAAGCAGAGGCTAGATGGCCATCTGTTGGGAGGGATTAGATGGTGCTTTCCTTGCATAATGGAAAAATGGGATGACCTAGATGGCCTTTGGAACCCTTCCCAACTCTAGGATTCTATTATTATTACGATTACTATTATTACTATTATTATTATTATTATTATTAAGCAGAGGCTAGATGGCCATCTGTTGGGAGGGATTAGATGGTGCTTTTCCTGCATAATGGAAGAATGGGGTTGGACTAGATAGACTTTGGAACCCCTTCTACCTCTAGGATTCTATTGTTGTTATTATTATCATTAAGCAGAGGTTGGATGGCCATCTGTTGGAAAGGCTTAGATTGTGCTTTCCTTGCATAATGGAAGAATGGGGTTGGACTAGATGTCCTTTGGGACCCCTCCCAACCCTAGGATTCTATTATTACTATTATTATTAAGAAGAGGCTGGATGGCCATCTGTTGGGAGGGATTAGAGTGTGCTTTCCCTGCATAATGGAAGAATGGGGTTGGGCTAGGTGCCCTTGGAGGGTCTCTCCCAATGCTAGCATTCCTTTCCCAGCTTTTTCCCTGCACTAACTCACCGGGAGTCTCCACAACCTCCCTGCCAGGTAGGCCCAGGCTGCCCTATTTACATACCCCGCCCCCCAGGCCAGCTCATTTGCATGCCCCTCCCCTCCCTCCTTCCCGGAGAAAGAGACGACGACCGAGGCTCCTCCGCCTTCCTCACCGCGACCTTCCTCCCTTCCTTCCGAGTTTTCCCCTCTCGCGCTTTACGGCCCAGGACGCGCGGCGGTGCTGTAAAGCTCCGGCGACACACGGCAGCCAATCAGCGCCAAGAGGGAGGAGAAAAGGGAGGAGCCACGCACGGCTGCGCGCAGGCGCACTAGAAGAGGGAGGGAGAAGGAATGTGCGGGTCGTAGCTTCTGCGCATGCGTGCTGGGCACTGTTTTGGAAGGGGATTGCTGAGCCTTTTAATACAGGCAGCTTGGCACTTTTCTTAGGGGTCTCCTATAGCAATCCTTCCCCAAATTAACACACACACACACA